TGTTTGCCTTCCAGGGATAAGGAAAAAGTTTCTCGCATGAATAGATTGCAAGCAATAGTAAATCAAATATTTTTAGGTTAACCCTCGCGGGCCCGGGGGGGGGGCGTTTTTCGCCCCCCCTGGCGAATATTTGCGATAACTCCCGAACGCTTAGGGATAGGAAGGCGAAACTTTCAGTACCTTTTCTCCCATCAATTTGACATCTTCTGAAGTAAAAAATTTGGACCTAGCCCCCTTGATGACGTCACAAGGTCCATTTTTCTAGACCCCTGCACGGCAAACTTCGGCGTCACAGACGCAAACTTCAAATAGCTGCTAAAAATAGAGTTTTAGAGATAAAGACAAATTACGAGCACGGCTGTGTAGCGTTTGACCTAGAGAAAAATAGAAAAATAGTTTTGGTGACCTGAGGTCAGAGGTCAGGTCAACGACCCCGAAATGTGGTTTTAGTTTTTCGCAAATAACTTCGACAAAAATGGTCCTAGAGCTACGGCAGTGGTACCATCGCATTCGCCTTGTCAAGCCGCGTCGAATGATATATATTTTGTTCGGAAAAGGTCAAGTTTCATGTTGACCTCATGTGACCTCGAATGACCTCTGGTTGACCTTGACACATGAAAGGTCGTTTATGATGGATTTGTACCCGCTGATCACGAATCTGGCATCTATTTTCCTCTAAGCCTTCATTTAGAGCTTCCGGATGGCAAAATTGTCTTATTTATTATTACTAACTTAATAAGTGAAATAGCCTCTAGCAGGGATACTCTTCTGTGACCTTGACCTTTGAGCAGCCTTGTATCGTAAGATGAACCACAAATAGGGAACTGATAAGCCTCAAAACATTTCAAAACATCTTGGAAGTTAGCACGCAAGATGTGCGAAAAAGTGCCAAGTTTGAGGTCAATTTTGAGCGTGACCTTGACCTTGACCTTTGATTTAGAGCACATTTTCAGAATCCTCAGATTCTCTTCTTTCGTTTGACACCCAATTTTGCCGGTTTGATGCAGCCTGCCGTCCTCTAGAAGGCTTACTTTGAGATCACTACACATGTGCCGGTTTTGGCCTTTGACCTTGACCTCTGACCTTGAAAATTGACCTGAGGTCAAAAATTTTAGGTGCATTAGAATCGTCTCGTAAGGACCTTTCGTTTGGTATCACTTTTGTTTCCGTAGCTCTCTTATTTACGGAGTTAGACAGGGGGGGCGAAAAACGCCCCCCCCCCCGGGCTGCGGTGGTTGGGATTACCCCCCGGGCCCGGCCGGGTTAAGTGGTTATGCATCAGGCTTCAGGCCTTCGGCCTGAAGCCAGATACATAACCACTTAACCTAAAAATATTTGATTTACTATTGCCTGTATTCTCTCCTAAGGCATTGCCTTCGGCACTGCACTGCTTTGCATTGAGCTGATTCCGTGTTTTTTACATAATGACGTCACTTTCAGTGACTATGTAATCCCTGGACATTATGAACTCTGGCCCATTCAAGGCACTGGCCATTTTGAACACTGGACACATCGTGCCCTGGACATTATGAACCCTGGCCATTTCGAATACTGGACACATCGTGCCCTGGACATTATGAACCCTGGCCATTTTGAACACTGGACACATCGTGCCCTGGACATTATGAACCCTGGCCTCTTTGAATATACCCTATCTGCAGCCAGTTGGCCACATTTGGACCATGCAATCCCTGGACATTATGAACTCTGGCCCATTCAAGGCACTGGCCATTTTGACACTGGGCATAGCGTACCCTGGACATTATGAACCCTGGCCAGAATGAATGCTCCCCGGCATATGTTACCACCCTGTCGCGTTTTTTGCGTGTAAATAAAAAACCGCGGCGCGTAGCGCCGCGGCGCTTGGAGTAGCTTTTTGTACATCAATTTTGGACAATGTGTGAAATTTTTGACCCCAGGTCATGTCAGGTCAGGTCACCAGGTCAAGTTAACTGACCAAGCCTAAAAAAAGTTTGCAATCATGTCCAGCCTGCAGTGTCTGTCAAAAAGGTTTCAAACTTGGTGGATTGCATGATGTTATGGACGCCTACAATTTGTATATCTCGGATTTTTTATATCCGTGACCTAAGGTCAGGTCAGTGTCGTGACCTTACCATTATAAGGCAATGGAGAAAAATGAAAATGCCTCTAGATCCGTGTGTACGCATAGGAACAGTCCAAATATTTCAGAATCACAATGATTTGGACCACCCGTGATGACCAAGGTGTCATTTTTGCTGATAGCCTCTAGAAAGGTCATCCGAGGTCATTTGAGGCTACAAACAGATTTTTGCCAATAACTCTCGATTGGAAAGAGATAGAACGCTGGGGATGGCCTCATTGTGTTTGTCTTGCCGAGACGCATCGACTGATATGCAACATGACCTTTTCCGGTAAGGTCATGACCTTGACCTGAGGTCAAATTTTCAAGTTGACCTTTCAAGGTCAAATTATAGTTCATTCGACGCGTCTCGGCGAGAGGAACACGATTCTGGCAATAGAAATGTCGTGGCTTTTTTTAAGTCGAAAGTTATTGTCGAAAAACACTTTTCGTAAAAACAGCCATTTTTGGAGATTTTGCCCTCTGGAGGCTAAACCATTGACCTGAGGTCAATTTTGATAATGACCTTTTCATAAGAAGAGTTTAAAAGCTATCGATTTCTTTTCCATTCGTTTTTCTAGCTATCATAGTTCCTAAGATATATGCATGTTTTCTGAGAAATATAATGACATTAGGCAAATTTTGACCTTTGATGACCTCCAGTGAACCCAATATTGTTCTAAGATGAAAATGACCTAAGTACTTTCAAACGTACGCATTGAGAGCTATCGACTGTTTTTTACCGCGTCTTCCTAGCCCTCTTAGTTTTTGAGTTAGAGGTGGGTGGTAACATATGCCCCCCCCCCCCCCCACTAGGGCGAAGTTGACTGAGACCGCCACTGGGGCGCGGGTTAAATCTAGTTAACCTTCCAGGTCAAGCCAATAACTAAAAAGTCGGAAAAATCGGGATCTGCTAAAACTTCTTAAAATGAGGCTGTAACAAGGTTTTTGGACCACTGATTTCAAACTTCACGTACCTAAATTCTAATAAAAAAGATTTCTTCATTTGGAGTAGGTCAGGTGATGTCAGATCATTCAGTAGTTGCGTCCCGCCGGCTATTCATAGTATAGGTACAAGTGCAAACCACCACTGGCAGCTTGGCAACATGTTGTTTAAGCACGAGGACTCCTACCGAAACATTCAAATAAGTGCTAAAATCGGAATCTGCTCCAAAACTTTTACTAAAAAGTCGTTAAAAAGTCGTAACACTTTACAAGGTAGCCCAAAACCAACAAATGTCTATGACCTTGATATGACCTTCAAGTGGCCTTGGCACCTGCGATGATGCACGGGACAAACATCGTTGTACATGCTGGCACGTTTCTTATCACAAAAAAAAAACTGGAAACGCACGGATAATGTGCGCTGGCATAAACCGAATCGCAATGCCAGCATGACATTATCTCAAGAAACAGGTCCCAGGTCGGAGTTAATTGGGGTTAGAGTCGTGAAATCTTTAACCCGCGCATGACTCAGACTGGGGTATTTTCAATAACGCGACTGACAAAAGGTCAAATTTTGAAAATGAAATTCTACAGCAAACAAGGTGCCTATCAGATGCAGTTTGAGCTCAGGAACATGATTGTGCCTTTTATATTGTTGTGCAATGACAAAAACGCACTGAAAAATGGTTTCGAACAATATATAATTGTAAAATTTTGACAATCGTGCAAATAACTTGGCTATTTTTGAAGCTATTGGGCTAAAAGTAGCTCATCAGAGTGTGTTCTATCATATTTTTCTCCGGTTTTTGCGAAAAATAAAAAACTTTTTGAAAAAAAAAATAAAAAGTATAGTTTTCAAATTGTCAATACATATTTTTCAAAAATTTCAACATTTCGAAAATTCGAGAGAGCAGTTTGATAGCTACGTGTATTTGTAGTCCACTTACGCAAAGAAATTAGATCTAGCATTAAAACTAAGCTCTGGAGAGCGTTTGCCGTAATTCAATATTTTGCATCAAAATCGGCCGACATGACGTCACTCTGACGTCATTTCCGGCCAAACTATGGTAGCTAGAAAGTTGAAAGTTATACACAAGGTGTCAAGTTAATGCCGCTGTAGGTTACGCAAGTTTCGTGTTGATCCGTCGAACGGTTCAGAAGATATTGCCGAAAAACGGGACGGGGTTCTGCAGAGCCCCCCCCCCCAGTCATGCGTGGGTTAAGACATGTTTAGATTAACTCGATAATCCTGGAAGTTTCCTTTTCACTTCTTCACTTTTTCCTTTTCCCGAATTATTCGCGAAAAACCGAGGGGGCATCCGACCCCCTGTAAATGCGAGGACGGATAGTTTGCTGACTTAGTGTGATAAAAATATGTTTGTTGTCAAAAGATTCGGCGTGAATCCAGTCCGATTCGTCAATTCTTGGGGTCGTGAATTGAACCGTGATTTCTCAATTGTTCAGCTGAAGGAAATTCTGTGAATCGGAGCCTTATTCAATTGTGGCGCAGCAGCCACTTCAACGCTATCAGATGCGGATCAGTGAGCACTGCGCTAACTTCCCTAACTGAATTGGTTAGTTAGCCGAAACACGGCAGTGGTTTCTTGTTATAGCGAAAATCCCAAACCAAAAGGTGACAACTGACAATAAAAGACTGGAGTAAGGAAAGTGAGGTATGGATTGGTGACAAGCATATCCGAACCGAAGTATTCCTATATTTTGTCATCGACCTCTAAATAGCCGAGACTGCGGTACACAGAGATCGGAGCCTCAGACGGGTCTATATAATTTGTAGTTACTGCGACGTAACGTACGAATCAATCAGTTAACCCACGTTAGATATTCAGCTATCCTACACTCTTGAAGGCTTCTGATGTAAACATGTATGCACAAATAAATGTAGGAAACTGCACACACATCATTTTAACTCGTAACCGGTGACCTCTCTCTGCAGCGGCGATGTTTGCAGCGGCCGGCGGAGCGCACTGTGCCGGCGCCGCCCCTCGCTGACGGCCCTGCTGTCGGTGATGGCAGCCGGGGCCGGCGCAGGGGCGCGGCTGGTGCCGCGACCACCGCTGCCCTGGCCTCGCGACACAGAGGCGGCGCCGCCCGCCCGCCTCTCGGCCGCCGGCGTCGACCTGGAGCCCTCGGCCCGCCTCAAGGAGGCGGAGGCGGGCGCCGAGCGCGAGACCTGGGACAAGAAGGTCGAATTCCTGCTGGCCGTCATCGGGTTCGCCGTGGATCTCGGCAATGTGTGGCGATTTCCGTACATCTGCTACAAAAACGGCGGCGGTCAGTAGGCGCGGGAGGGAGTAGGCTGATCTGTCAGAGTTGTTGATGATGATGATGATTTTTTTGTGTGTCAGAGTTGTTGTAAGGGTTGAATAGGAATTATCGATTAGGTAGTGAAACGACATTGAACGAAAAGGTTCATTAACCTGCGTCCCGTTGGGCTCTGCCGAGCAACGCGCCCTGTTGGGGGGGGGGGGCAATTTGCCCCCCCCCCTAAGATCTCGAGAACCACGCAACCTAGCGACAAGCGGCAAACGGTGTTGGATAGCCCTATCAGGAAACTACCTTGTGACCCAATTTTATTGACCAAGGTCAAACCGATGACGTCACAGGTCAGGTCAAATGTCTAATTTTCACCGTTTACAGGCATTTCAAGAAATGCGTTGTAACATCGAGTAAAATGCATTTGATTGAAAATCATCGATGGTGAAATGTTCTTCAAACACATATTTTGCTATTTGAGGTCACTGATACCAGGTCAGGTCACAGAGGTCAGGTCACTGAGGGTCAAAATGTGAAAGTATCATGTGATGCATTATTATGGTCTATTTTATATGTCAAATACGATTATGTGGGTCAGGCAGCCTTTGGGGTCAGTTTAGATTATGTTCTGGCGAAGGTCAGGTCAAGGTCAGGTCAAGGTCAGGTCAAAGTAGGTCAAATTTCAAAGTTGATATTTTTGCATAAAATGGGTATTGATTCGATGCAGCTCGTCACGGGGAGTTCAATGGTGGTCTTTGTTTTGCCCTACGTGGTCTAGAATCGCTAAAAAAATGAGCTCAAAAATTTGACGTCATCATTTTTGAACAGTTTCTTCGCTATAACTTGGCCAAAAACGAGATATCGATCTGAAATTTGGTATGTATATAGAAGAGCGCAGGGACTATCACATATATTCCGCTTTTTTTAAATTCGGGAAAGATTTGGATTTTTTTTTAGTTTTTCTTGGGGGCTAAAAACCCAAAATTTTGAAAATCCGAGACTTCAGTTTTGTAGCGCCGCTTTTTGTCTACTAGACCATATAAAGAACTTTGAAATTGCTTGGTAACTGTAGATTTGGTGAGCGTTTCAAGATTGCATGTTTTTTGCTCATTTTTGCTCGAACATGACCTCAGTTTGACCTAAATAACTCCTGACCTAAGGTGACCTAAGACTTGAAATTTTGTGTGAAGGTGTCAAATTGATGCCCGGGAACGTACTGAAAATGTGGCGGCGCTGCGCGCCGCCGTTTTCTTGCTATTCAGGAAAAAACACAGGGGTGGGCAAATTGCCCCCCCCCCCCCAACGGGGCGACGGTTAAAAGTAAACGGATTTCTATGTGAAATTAATGTAGGTATTTGTCAAACGTTAGCTGCGAGAGCCTTAAAGGTAGTGTGCCACCTTTAAAAGATTTCCCATTTTATGTTTCCTAGGATAAGAAGCTTCTGTTTTTACCTAATATCGCAAAGAAAATCAAAAATGGGCCTGGAATAGTGCCTTTTTCGCCTATATGTTTATCGGTTTTTCGATATGTATAACAACTGTAGTGGGCTGACCTGCAAACAGGCGTCGGCAACAATCGCGAATGCGGCGCACATGTGACAATAACCAAAGGTCATTATAGAGTGACGACGTACGGGAATGAGTTATCAGCTGTCTAATCGTAGACAACACAATGTCGAGCCTTAAACTGTAAGCCTGTATTGGTGTTGTTTCTTTTATTTGGCTGTCGAACATTATTTATGGTTTGAAATATGATTTTATGGAAAATAATTGATATGAAAAAGCCGTCTCTTAAGTTATGACCCCATTTCACCACACGCAAGTAGCAGAAATGACAATGATCAGCTGACGCATTTTTCTTGGCCGAAGTCAGAGCGCGCGGCCCGACGCACCACCACCGCACCACAAAGTATGAGCAGAAGCCGCGCCCAAAGCCAGGGCCCCGGTAACGTGAGGTAGCCGAGTTGGGGCAGCGTGCGCTGACCCAAGCCGGGGCCGCAGCTTTGGGCGTGGTCTACCGCATCCCCGCGGGCAGCCCCGGGCTATCACATGACACCGGGAGGACGCGCGGCCCCGGCTTGGGTCAGCGCACGCTGCCCCGACTCGGCTACCTCACGTTACCGGGGCCCTGGCTTTGGGCGCGGTCTACCGCACCACCTAACAGGCGTGTTCGAAACCGCAGGATTCAGATTCAGATTCAGATTCTTTATTTACGACAAATCCATAAAGCATGGGTTTTCATTGCCACTCGTCATCTTGATAAAATAAGAATGGTATAGGCTTATAGGCAGTATTGACAGGCCAAGATCAACTTACTCTACCCACAACCATTTTGCTCTCTCAGGAGATACCGTCGCAAGTAGCGCCTAAAGCCTCTCGCGTCGACACGGAACGGCAGACGATCGTAGTCTCTGACAGCGTCATAGCACAGGCGTCGACGTCCCGCCTCAGTGCGTATCCTGGGCAACGCATGGTGGCCTACAGTACGCGTCTGGTACGTGTGCTCTGCTGTGTGCCCTATCGTGCTCGCAATAGCTTCTGGTCTTCCTGTGGTGACGACAGAATGCACCATACAAATCCGATACAAATCCGCAGGAGATGATGATGAACGGGTTTATCGAAACTTGATTGGATGAGCATATCGGTAATAGCGATTTCAGTGTGTGCATTTATTGTTCATAGTGGTGTGAAATGCGGTTGGGGTACGACCGACAACCCGTCGGGGCGAATTTCGCACTGGGGTACTCAAAATTTGAAGAATTTAAGACGTTTCCATGAGTTTTGAAGGTATGGATAAGTTCTAAAAATCCGGTTCTCCTTATCTGGGCCATTAACTCCATACGGTCCAGGAAAGCTGGCACACTACCTTTAACCCGGCGGCCGCTGGGCCTCCGCGCTACCCGCCGGCCGCTGGGGAGGGGGCATATAGTTGCCCCCCCTTTACTTCTGCGACGATATCGTCGCAACGCAAAGAGATAGAGAAGCGAAACTTTGCACACATCTTCCTGAATACCTAGCCGAGGTTGTATCCAAATTTGGTGTCGGTCTCATTTGAAATGACGTCACAGTGACGTCATAAGTCAAATTATCGATTTGCGACTCTCAGTTTCCTCACGATATATCAGATACTCGTATAGGGACCGAATATAAAGGGCCGATTATTGGTGATTGAAGTGTGCTTAGATGATTTAGGATGACAGCAGGTGCTGTCTAGTTTATTTTCAGTTGAGTTTTATGCTCAGCGACATCAGAAACGGTCCATATCGGAAAACGACAAAACTTTATGACGTCACTGTGACGTCATCTTAAGTGCTAAAACCATTAAACTTTTCTCAAATATTGCATAGTAGGTATTCATTTGAAGCTATGCAAAGTTTCACGTTCGTAGCTCATCAGGTTTCGGAGATATTCCACAAAACGTAAAGGGGGCAACTTTATGCCCCCCCCCCAGCCGCTCGTGGGTTAACCCTCGCCGGCCGAGGGGGGGGGGCGGGTGCCGCCCCCCCCCCATAGGGTTTTTTTCGCGATAGCTCTGAACACGCTGGCGATAGAAAGCTGAAACTTGGCATACCTGACCTTTGATTCAAGCCAGATCTTTTGACACCAACCGCATTTTTGGGTCAGGTCAGGTCACTGACCTATGACGTCATAAGTGAACCTCTGCACGGTCTTCAGATGTCGCAACTTCGCAACGCCCTCACTGCCAGAGGAGATGTCACAGGGAAATGAAACTTGCAGGATCTAGTATCCATTATGAGTCCCATAACTTGTATATCTCGGATTTTTCCTAAAGGTCATATAAGGTCAGGTCATTTTCGTGACCTCACCATTATAAGTCAATGGGGAAAAATGAAAACTGCTATTCTGGCGCCGGGAACGATCTCCAACTATCTCAAGCACACAGAATCGTGATTTAATGCACTCCTTGCAAGGTTAGATGCGTCACTTTTCCAATGTTGACCTTGCGTGACGTCATTTATGACGTCATCAAGGTCATATTAGTTTTTCGTCAATAACTCTTGATCAAATTGAGCTAGCGAGTCGGGAAAGCCACCAATGGACTCAGGAAGGCCTGCTGAATCGAATGATATGCGACATGACCTCTTTCGACCAACTTCGTGACCTTGGGGTGCTGACCTGACCTTGACCTGAGGTCAACACCCCAAGTTGACCTGACCCGGACAAAAAGTATATCATTCGACGCGCCTGGGCAAGGCGAACACGATGCTGCCAAAATCGGCGCTCTGCGGCCGTTTTTTGCGAAGTTATTCACCAAAAACTGAACCGTACCTTGGGGCACTTGACCTGACCTCAGAGGTCACCGGTTGACCTAGGACCTTAAAATCGGGTACTAATCTCTGCGTCTCGTAACGGCGCACACGCTCGTTTTTTCCGCGACGCGCTAGCTTCACCAGGGGCGAAACGGCTAGGGGGGTCGTACCCGACCCCCCCCCCCCCTCGGCCGGCGCGTATGTACACGGAGAAAAATAATTACTCCCCCCGGGAATCACGATCCCCTATTTGGGAATCAACTGACACCCATAGTGTAATCCGATTCTGAAAAACAGTGTCCATACACCGTTTTTTAGTGTAAATTGATCTCGGTCAGAATCACATACCCAAGGGTCATTTGACTCCCAAAATTTTGACTCCCATTTTAGGTGTCGTGTCAAAAGATCCTGCACGGTGTCAGTGTAAAATGACACATCTAAGCGTTTTTGACGCTATAAAGAGGAGTTTTTATATCCTATAGGTGTCATTTCACACAGTTGAGTGTTTTCGCAATCCGTGACTCCCTTATTAGGTGTAATTTGATCCTCAGTGGTGTCATAATATTCCCTTCAAATGACTTATTGAGTGTAATTTGACCCTCGGTAGTGTCAAAATATTCCGGTGTCATTTGAGCCCCATTGGGTTCAAATGACACCGGAATATTATGGCACCACTGAGGGTCAAATTACACCTAATAAGCGAGTCATGGATTACGAAAAACGCTCAACTGAGTGAAATGACACCCATAGGGCAGAGCCGCGGAGTCGGAGTTGGAGTCGGAGTCGGAGTCGGTCGGAGTCGACAGTTGTGACCGGAGTCGGAGTCGGAGTCGATTTTAGAAACCCGAGCCGGAGTCGGAGTCGGAGTCACCGAAAATCTGTCGACTCCGCAGCCCTGCTAGGTCTGCGGAGTCGGAGTCGGGAGTTGGAGTCGGTCGGAGTCGACAATTCTGCCCGGAGTCGGAGTCGGAGTCGAAGCTGGTTTTTGAAAGCCGGAATCGGAGTCGGAGTCAGAGTCGCCGAAAATCCATCGACTCCGCAGCCCTGCCATAGGGCTCAAAAACTCCACATGATATTATCAAAAAACACTACATTATTACAGAAGTTGTTTTGACGTCACTGGTGGTAGGAACCAACAATGCAGAATCAAGAGATTTTCGGTGAATCAGACTCCGAATCCAGCTCTGGCTTCCAATATCGACTCCGACTCCGACTACGGCCAGAACTGTCGTTTCCAACCGACTCCGACTACGGCCAGAACTGTCGACTCCAACGGACTCCGACTCTGACTCCGTAACCCTGGTGTAGGTTCAGTGATTTGAGTCAATGCCCCGAGTGACGTCATGTGTGTGCTGCTGGTCCGCCACGAAGATGAAATAGGCCAATCAGCAGGCTGCATTGTCTTTTGACGTCATTTGTGTTAGTCGGTCCACCACGAAGACGAAATAGTGCGACCTTGAGGAAAACCGTTAGAAAGCCGTTGGACTTCAGTTGCGCGCGCGGTGTGCCACGTGGTGTGTGCAGTGTGAGTGAGGGCAGGAATTATTTGAATTTACGTGCTTGTAATGTCGCAAAACGTTGTTTGAAGTGTAGTTTTGTTTCAAGTGATAGTGCATTAACGATAAAGTTGAGTTTTTATTTGTAACTTGCTCTGTACGTATTCAAATAAGGAGGCGCCCTGCACTCGGTGAAATTATGAAGTGAGGACAGTAAGATTGCAACGCACTATGGAAACGGAGGTAAGTTTTTATGTCATTAAGCTGCAGAATACCTAACTCTACCTAAGTAAGTAGCAATAATCACCGGTTAATGGAACATTGTTGAAATGTGAGTAATTCCTTACGGTGAATGGAGTCACGGACCCATGCGCCTTACGATAAGTTTTCATTAGATTTCGTCAGACATTTCGTGCCCAAATGTTTTGGAATTTATTGTTGCATATAAAATAAAGAATGACATGCATGTATTGTTAATTTGCGTCACGTGGTTAACAACTGCAATTATGACTCTGTTGGAGAGTGTATTTTGATCCCATAAGGTGTATGATTCCGCGAATCATTTGACAATATCTGGTATAAAGACTGATTGAAAAGAAGACGTCATCGTCAATAGATAAAATTGTAGCTGCAAGGGTGAAGACACATGTAAGCTACATTTAAAGTTTCGTTGCAGTCTGGCTAATCGTTCCTATAACCCGGCCGGGCCCGGGGGGTAATCCCAACCACCGCAGCCCGGGGGGGGGGCGTTTTTCGCCCCCCCCTGTCTAACTCCGTAAATAAGGGAGCTACGGAAACAAAAGCGATACCAAACGAAAGGTCCTTACGAGACGATTCTAAAGCACCTAAAATTTTTGACCTCAGGTCAATTTTCAAGGTCAGAGGTCAAGGTCAAAGGCAAAAACCGGCACATGTGTAGTGATCTCAAAGTAAGCCTTCTAGAGGACGGCAGGCTGCATCAAACCGGCAAAATTAGGTGTCAAACAAAAGAAGAGAATCTGAGGATTCCGAAAATGTGCTCAAAATTAAAGGTCAAGGTCAAGGTCACGCTCAAAATTGACCTCAAACTTGGCACATTTTCGCACATCTTGCGTGCTAGCTTCCAAGATGTTTTGAAATGTTTTGAGGCTCATCAGTTCCCTATTTGTGGTTCATCTTACGATACAAGGCTGCTCAAAGGTCAAGGTCACAGAAGAGTATCCCTGCTAGAGGCTATTTCACTGATTCAAGTTAGTAATAATAAATAAGATAATTTTGCCATCCGGAAGCTCTAAATGAAGGCTTAGAGGAAAATAGATGCCAGATTCGTGATCAGCGGGTACAAATCCATCATAAACGACCTTTCATGTGTTAAGGTCAACCAGAGGTCATTCGAGGTCACATGAGGTCAACATAAAATTTGACCTTTTCCGAACAAAATATATATCATTCGACGCGGCTTGACAAGACGAATGCGATGGTACCACTGTCGTAGCTCTAGGGCCATTTTTGTCGAAATTATTTGCGAAAAACTAAAACCACATTTCGGGGTCGTTGACCTGACCTCTGACCTCAGGTCACCAAAACTATTTTTCTATTTTTCTCTAGGTCAAACGCTACACAACCATGCTCGTAATTTGTCTTTATCTCTAAAACTCTATTTTTAGCAGTTATTTGAAGTTTGAGTCTGTGACGCCAAAGTTTGCCGTGCAGGGGTCTAGTAAAATGGACCTTGTGACGTCATCAAGGGGGCTAGGTCCAAATTTTTTACTTCAGAAGATGTCAAATTGATGGGAGAAAAGGTACTGAAAGTTTCGCTTTCGTATTCCTAAGCGTTCGAGAGCTATCGCAAATATTCGCCAGGGGGGGGGGGGGCGAAAAACGCCCCCCCCCCGGGCCCGCGAGGGATAATTTCAGAAGCAGAACATACCCATGAGTATGTGGGTTAGTTGTACCTACCATACTATTGGTCTCAAGATAAGGGCCCAGGCGACCTGTTTTTCTGATGCGATGAATACATATACCCTTTATACCCTCGCCGCAGCTCGGTTCGAGTGCATCCCTCACCCCTGCACGCAACCCAATCCCTGCACTCGAATATTACCGGTATTTCTCATATTAGGAGACCAATAGTACCGGTAATATTTATATTAGCTGATGTATGACGCTAACAGGAACAGGCTCTGAACCGGTATAGAAAAACCATCCCAAGAGTCATTTGACACCGTTGAGGTGACACCTACGAGGGGTGTTTTTTGAAGCGTACCAAAAACGCGCAGTTTCCAGGAGACCGATTACACCCGGAATCAGACACCCCCCGAGGTAATCTGATTCTGGTTGGGAGTGTATTTTATACCACATGTCGTCAAATGATTCCCGGAATCATACACCGTGTGGGATCAAAATACACCCTCAAAATCCGATTACTCCCTGAAGTGACACCTAAAAGGGGTGTTTTTTGAAGCGTACCAAAAACGCGCAGTTTCCAGGAGTCAGAGTACACCCGGAATCAGACACTTCAGACACTTCCTAGAGTATTATGACTCTGATTTGGGGTGTATTTTATACCACATGTCGTCAAATGATTCCCGGAATCATACACCGTGTGGGATCAAAATACACCCTCAAGATCCGATTACTCCCTGAAGTGACACCTAAAAGGGGTGTTTTTTGAAGCGTACCAAAAACGCGCAGTTTCCAGGAGTCAGATTACACCCGGAATCAGACACTTCAGACACTTCCTAGAGTATTATGACTCTGATTTGGGGTGTATTTTTATTCCATAAGGCGTATGATTCCGGGAATCATTTGACGACGTACGGTGTAAAAATACACCCTCAACCAGTGTCATAATACCCTAGAAAGTGTCTGATTCCGGGTGTAATCGGACTCCAGAAAACTGCGCGTTTTTGGTACGCTTCAAAAAACACCCCTTTTAGGTGTCATTATTTTTTTCAGTGTAGAAAACCAATAGGTCCGGCGAGGGTTAAACATTTCAAACTGTTATGAGTTCCTGCTGTGATGCCTAATGTTGTCCATTCTCAGGTGCTTTCCTCATTCCCTATCTTATCATGTTGATCTTCGGAGGTCTTCCGCTTTTCTACATGGAGCTGGCTCTAGGACAATATCACAGAAGTGGCTGTCTCACCCTCTGGAAGAAAATCTGCCCGGCACTCAAAGGTAAGTTGGAACCAGAACTTTAAAAAAAATAATAAACGTTTTTCGCAATGAACGACAAAATAACTATCTTATTCAATTCTTGTGACATAAAAAGAGAATCGCAAATGAAACAATGTTTTCTCATTTTCATTTTATCTTTCACTTTAACATCACCTTCCTTTCGACCCTCAAATTGATCACTCAACTTCTAGCTCCCGGTATCCTTTTTTTCCCGATTAACTGTTGCTCGCGTGGGCCATCGATCATGTGGCGTGCAATCGGGTCGCTCTTCGGGACCATCGAGCCTGCTCGTTAAGCAAACGGCACCGTATATCGGCGGGGCCGGGGCGCGGGACACGCGCCGGCCGCGATAACTAGGGCAATCGCCGCGACCCGAGCGGCCCGTCTGCTCACCCGTGACCGATTGGCGACGCCGAGATGGCAGCGCCGCTGGTGTGTCGGGCACAAGGGTCGACGGCATTAGAAGCAAGGGGTGCGACGCCAACAGGCTGACTGCAAAACACGGCAGGGTGATGGAAGTAGAATGCGTTGCAGAAGTAATGAACGCTGCAGATACAATCATGACTTTTTGTAGTAAATAATAATTATGAGCGTATAAGGCCGAATGAGCGTAAGGTCGGAGAGCTTTGTCAGAACAGCTTTCAATCACAAAATTGAAATTTATTACAGTTCTATCACTACTTCTCCCAGGAATCGGCTACGCGATTTGCATCATCGACATCTACATGGCCATGTGTTACAACACGGTGCTGGCGTGGTCGGTGTACTACCTGGTACAGAGTCTGCAAGCCGAACTGCCCTGGACGCGCTGTTTCAACGCCTGGAACACGGACCGGTGTCGCCAGTCACCGGCCAACGGCACCCTGCCGGCGGCGGGCGGCGGCGCGTCAAACAGCTCGGCCAACACCACCAGCCCCGCCTACGAGTTCTTCCAGTGAGTGAAACTGCTGGGCTGGGTGGGGTGCAGGTTTACACGTAGATGCTGTAACTTTATTCATGATTTGTGTCAGAAAATTTCAATTATTGTCATGTCAAGCTTGGATAATTTATTACAGGCTTCAATGTTTTTTTACATTGTTCTGAGAGCCATTATGACTGGAAATAGCTTCTACCATTTCCTTGATAATTTCAGTTACGCCGTGTTAGAAGTTCAGCATGCCAAAGGAATCGACGATCTCGGTGCGGTGAAATGGCCGCTCGCACTGTCTCTCCTGGCGGTCTTCTTTCTCGTCTACTTTTCGTTATGGAAAGGCGTCAAAAGCACTGGGAAGGTGAGTGACTGTTATGCCCATAGCATAAATAAACTTACAATTGTGTAGATTCGGAATATAAACACTTTCTATTCATTTCTTGAATTACGAAAGTCGCTCCCACTTCGCCATTCGATGCTTCTGAGATACTGTGCCGCGATACACATATGGACAGCGAATCAGCCTACCCCCGCAGGGGACTGCGTTAGTACAGATCCGTTTGAGCTGCCTCATGGTATCTAATTTGGCATGGGGTTCATGGTTTCATGTTTGCAAATAAGGTTGACCTTTACCTAGATGGTAGACTTGTTATCAACGGAATGAAGCTGGTTCTACCAAAAAGTGCTATTGTTCATAAATGTGCATGATCCACTATGCTGGAAGTAAGTATTCATTTCCGTTATTTTGACTCGTCGTCACGCTGACATGCATCAGACCATTTGATTATAAAAACCGTCAAAACAGGTCTAGCATCCACTTATATACCTATAGCGATCAATGCATGTAAAACTGACCATAGTCCACAGTTGGTCGTTCCGTAAAATCTGACGCTTATCGCTCTGTATGATAAAGTGCTTTAGAATAAGTATTCATGAAACAGTTTGAAAAAGTAGTAGTCTTCGGCTCTTCGCAAGCAAAAACTTCGCAGTCTAGTTCCCCGGTCGTGAGCTTTTAGCAAAAGAAATGCATGCGTCAGCCGCCAGTCTTTCACGCACTATAAGAGGAACAATACTCTGTAACATATGTCACAATCGCACGTTATCAATAGCAACAGTTATTGGACATTCGTTATGCCTCCGCGAATCAACATGTCATTATTGTTCAGGAGTATCACTGAAGGGGCACAAACAGGTAAAAATATGAGCAGATCGATATTTGTGGACATCCACTCGACACGAGCTGCCCTCTCAAGTGGAGTGCCACGGTCCATGGGCTAGTCGATATTCTCATGCTGTGTACTGCATAGGTATATGTAGTGTAATTATGTTGGAGCCACGTGGCTCTATGTAGTGTAGCGTAGCGCAGTAACTGCTGCTGCTAAGTGTATATTATATTGCTTGCCTGAACACCGAATCCCCCACTGCGTGTATAGGCTGGTCCGACTGAACAGGCACAGTCTCGTGGTCAATCATTGGGGGAGAGGGTTGGAGCAAGGGTCATCAGAGGCCCGTCACGCTGGCACTACCTGACTTATGTCGAACCGTTCGACCCCACTCTGACTCACTGTTCACTGCTTGGCAGTATGCACTGACAATTGGCATGCATTTGAAAATGAATGGACGTGTCTACAGCTGGATTAGGAGCAATCATTACAATTTTTATCTTGAATATTGAAAATGAGACATAAGCGGACAGCTGAGCTTTTGATTTTATTCACAGGTCCTTTTGCATGCCAGGCTGTCTGGATAACGACCTTGTTTCCAAATATGTTTGCCTACGAAGCAGTCCGTTTTTCCGCCAGGTTGTCTGGATCACTGCGCTGTTTCCGTACGTGGTGCTGTTTATATTGTTCCTGAGGGGGATTACCCTGCCCGGAGCGTGGATGGGCATCCGGTACTACCTGACCCCGCAGTGGCACCGACTCAGCGATGTCAAGGTCAGGTCACCGCGATAAATCTACACTTGTTGGAGTGAAAAATCTCGATCGTAAGACAACAGATTCGTATTTCGATCACGCTTGTTTATAACAATCGCTTACTTCTGGACTCTTCACCTTTGAATATATGAATAAAATAAAGATATAAAGTTATTTTCAAGCTTGCACATCTTCATATTGAAAGTTCAAGTATCTGAAGCGATCTTTGGGCGTAATTTATGTTATCTTTTTCGACGTTCGATTCCGTGAATGCTATATTTTAAATATGTACAGCTGCATTATGTCTGTGAATGCCGTACAGGTTTGGATTGATGCAGCCACGCAGATTTTCTTCTCGCTTGGCCCGGGATTCGGAACTCTTTTGGCGTTATCAAGTTACAACAAGTTCAACAACAACTGCTTCAAGTAAGGAGATGGAATACGATAACTTGGAGTATTTTTTATAAGTGTGTCACCTAGCTGCTGTCCAACTATCTACGCATTGCAAAGCCCATCATTTTGTTGTTCTGGTGTCGTGTTCTGTAACGATACTTTCATCAATCAACCGATAAAACATGCTTCTTTGTCCCCAGGGATGCGATGATCACAAGCACGATCAACTGTCTGACCAGTTTTCTGGCAGGATTCGTTATCTTCTCCGTGTTAGGTAAGACCATGTCAGTCAGGATGGTCCCCACATGTAAGATGCTATAAATGTCTTTTCTCGTCATTCATAAGTATGTAGACGCCTATTACTAGTAGACGTATTATGGTTAATTTTTGCCGCTAATTTCCATAGATAGTTCGAGAAACATCCCAATTCTTTTTATTTGATTTTCATATTGGTGTTGTAATGTACTAAATGCATACTTCATTGTTGACTTCATACCTAAAAAGTGAAAAGCTGGAATGTTCACAAATTATTAAAATCATCACAAAATATTTACAAACATTTCAATGCGCCTATATTCATCGTCTTTCCAGGTTACATGGCTACTGTTCAGCACAAAGACATTAATGAGGTCGGAACAGACGGTAAGTTCACTGCATAATGTATGTACATCTTACCCTGGGTAAACAGGCTTACCTTATTACCGTAACGTATTTCTTATTACACTGCTTCATTTTGTGTTTCTCGTTTTGTACACTTTATTGCACTGTCGTATCTTTCTGCGCTCAGTAACACAAGCCTTGACCCTGAGTTGCTGATCTTTAATGGAATGGAAATAAATCAAGCGGTACCAAACCTGTTCGCAGGTCCCGGCCTAGTGTTTTACGTTTACCCGGAAGCAGTCGCCATGATGTCTGGCTCAGTATTCTGGGCCATCATCTTCTTCCTCATGCTCATCACATTAGGTAAGATTGTGAAACGAGGCGGCTCTTATTTGTCTACTGTATCATTTTCGCTGGAAAATTTCCAATCTAAATATTCGCGCAAAGAAGAGTATAGCTATGAACAATCGTTCGCTTGGATCCATTTCATTCACTCCCCCAATGACTTCATACCTGATTTACTAATATGTCAATATCATCTCCTTTAGGTTTGGACAGTACGTTTGGAGGCCTGGAGGCAATGATCACCGGTCTGTGCGACGAATACCCTAACATGCTGGGCAAACACCGCGAGATCTTTGTCGGTTTTCTGCTGGTCTTCTGCTATATTTGCGCCATACCAACAACCACTTACGTGAGTACAGCCAGCAGTGTAATTTGACACACAGCATGCGAAAAGTCCTCTCCTCTTGTCCCACCTCGCACGCGGCCGGCGTTGTCCCGTTTGCCGGGACGGCGCGGTGATAGGAACCGCCCGGTCATCACTCGTTCTTGCCCGGGCCGCTATCGGCCGCCGCTCGCCGTCCTCTGACTCACAGATGAGAGGCGCCTCCATAAATTGTCCCCGGGAGGAGCCCCGCGGGAGCCGCACCGGTGCCCTACACCGGCCATCAAATCCGGCGCCGATGACTCCGATACAATACGCATTTCATCCCGTGATGGACTCTCAAGTGGCCGGGCGGCTGGCCAGTGTGCCCCCGGCGCCGGTCCTCTGCGGAAGATAAACGGCTGCGTTTCTGGGCCGTTAGATTCAGCAGGAAGAGCACCTGCAAGAGGAATGCTGACTCTGGGAGAATGGCGTTGTCGCTAGGCCAGCCACTGTCGACTGTTTGCTACTTGGGAATCGGAAATGAACTTGGAAATATTTTCCATTTCAAAATACTTTTTCATTGCACCGTTTCTCGCGCCCGTGATGTATACTACTCGGTTCGAAGCTTGTGAGGGTTTTGCGGCCTTTTACCGGGCGGTTACCGGTCAAATTTGCCTTAGCAACGATCCGGTCGTGCAGGTCGTGAATAACCGCGAGACGATATCAATCGATCATCGATAATCGAATAGTCGGCACCGTTGCTGCCCCAGTGGCTTGATCAACGAAGTAAACTCTGAGAAGCTGGTTTGCCACTTAGTTGATCTTCCGTAGAAAATTTGGCACACATTGCCGGCCCTGAAAGTTGTGCGGCGCAGTCTACTTCCAGGCGCCTGCTACTGCCATCTATGGGCAGTGACACAAACAAGGAGCCATGCGGCGCAGTATTACGATATTGCAGGCGTTCGACTTCTAGTGCCATCTAGGGACGATAATTAGATTCACTAGGGTACCTGCCCAGACCAATGTCTCCCCCTAATTCCTATCATCCTTCCGGCTCTGAAATGGTCTAATTGGACCGAAAGGGCCTAACCCAACAAAACAAACAAACAAACAAAAACGTACACAAAAAATATGCCGAGTCATGTGATTCACACCCATTTGAAACCTTTTTTTTAAATAAATAGGTACGCTTTGACGGACAACCGAACTATATCTGACGAGGCAATGTTTTTGTCGATAAAAGTCAGTGGAGATCCTGAAACTCACTATGGATCTGCAATAACCTTACAATACCTAATGTTTAGTAGGCTGCAGAAGAGGGCTTTGCATTGTCACCGCTCAAAGTGTCTACTCTTCTCGTTCGTGTGTTCTTAGTTTCATGTAACCGTGGTGCACCATATCCATACGGTAAATCCATAAGGTGCTAATGCTGCCCTATATAGGTCACTTGCAAACGAGCGGCTCGTCAGTCGTCACTTACTTTCTGAATGGTCATTAGCATTGACCGATCGAAGCTAATTATCGACGAATTGCTCCGCGCGGCCACTCTGCATAGCTGTAGGAGCGTTATTGGTACGCTGCGGGCACCCGTTCCAGGTAGTCGACGGCACAGAGTTCCGCGGCCCCACCTCGTGGCACCTAACAGACGGCAGTGTCTAGTCATACGTACCCTGGACTGGAGAAGTGGAGAGCACGGGATCGCCTTCAAAGCGAGCGCCGAGTATAGATCGGATGGAGACTGTTACACACGCCGTGGTCTGTATTGAACTCCGACCCGGTCGACTCAGACGATCCTGCCCCAGACGGACAGGGGTCGAATGGGATGGCTCACGACTTACAGCAGACGCATTTGATACTCTCGGCGCATGGGCGCATTCAGGCACTAAGCTTGAGAGACGGAAAGACTCAGCTTCATATCACATAGACGTCAGGAGTTCAGGAGCGAACCTGTGTAAGTCCCTGCAATATGCTGCCCGTGAGTTGCACAATGCACAATGCACATTGCCCGCTCATTTATAGCAGTGCCTATGAAATGGTGCGTAACACGGCATTCACGGCATCAACTTCGTCCCATCATTTTCTACAGGGAGGAACGTACGTGGTCGACCTGCTGATGATCTACGGTCCAGGAATCTCGGTCCTCTTCATTGTGTTCGTCGAGTCAGTAGCCGTGTGCTGGTTCTATGGTGCAAACAGGTGGGTACTAAATGCATAATTCGGTTCAACGAAGAAGTAGGGGAATCTCACTCACGATAACGTAACTCTGCACGCTTCTGCGTGCTAAGAAGACGGGAAGACGGGATATGATACGCGTCGGTTCCCCAAACGTTAAATGCGTACAGTCTTATGTCAACTGGGATAACATTAATGGGACATTAGGCAGAACAACTTTGTAACACATTTCAATGAGATTATTCAATTGACGACTCCCTTCTAACTCGGTAGGTTTGCTGGCGACGTCGAAAGAATGCTGGGATCCCGTCCCGGTATCTTTTGGCGGATCTGCTGGAATTTCGTCAGTCCACTGTTTCTATTGGTAAGAGAACATAAACGAAACACCATCCAACTGGGTTGCCAACGACAAAACTTAACACTCTCAACTACATTGGATATGCACTTGTTGAGTATTATAGGTGTTTGATTATACACAAATTCTACGGTGTTGCATAGAACTATTTTGTTTCAAAGTTCGACAATTTGAGGTTCATGAAGAGTCGTCTTTATGCCTGACTGAATGCGTTGCAGCGCATCAGGCTCGATTCTGGGCTTCACTTATCTAGTCTGATGCCTGCCACTCATATGCCGGCAGTTTATTTTCGTGTGTTCTCTGGTGACGTACGAGGACCTCCGTACCAAGGACTACATCTACCCGCGCTGGTCCATCCTGCTAGGCTGGGCCATGACCGGCTCCTCGCTGGCCTGCATCCCGGCCTACATCATTTACATGTTCCTCGCCACGCCCGGATCACTCAAACAGGTAATGCAGCTACACTTAATGTCAAGTAATGAGCGTGGCATAACCCGCATAACCAGCGTTTGGTAGAAACGGCGCACATTTGACAACATCAGTCACTATGCGGTCAGACTGCTAATGTGAGGATTTAGGAATAATAGGAGCCAAAAGCCCAGATTTTTTAAACACAGTAAGTTCCTTTTTGAAGGACTTGAAACCCTTGTCATACCTGTCCAGTGTCCACTACCACTGTTGGTGCCTGTCATAAAGTTTAAATGCATTTTCTGTACTTAGTCGTGGACAGTTCAATAACAACGATGTATCCGACAGCGTTTTTATGTCTGCATCACCCCGGAGAGCGACCTGGAGCTGAACTCGAGTCTAGTACCGGCGGCCATCACAAGCAAGGAATCCGAGTCAGCCGCCGCGCCCACGGCCGTATGACTGGCCGACCTCAGCGGCTGCCGGCGCCGCCGCTCGGCGCCCGACTGCAGCGCCCTCTGCGAGCGACCGCAGCGCCGCCAGCGGGAGTTCTGGGCAACTGTGGACAAACGACTGTCGCTTCACACCAACGAGTGGTTGGTGTAAGTGAGCGATATCAAGCGATATCCAGTCGAACATTGAGAAACGCTCGGCGCTTTTGAATGGCATATCTGTTTTTAAAATAGGGTTGCTGTACATAATGAATAATAATCTCCCTTTGACAAAGGTGAAATTGATGTGAATATAGCAAAACGTGACGAGAGTTTGGAATGGCCAGTTTTTGCAGAGACATTCTTATAGAATTTATTCGAAGTTGACGAAGCTTCTGGGCGTGTTGTGTTAGCTTGTATAACATTGTTCGCTGTTTCAATGTCGCTTGTGGGCCCTCAGACCAATCTGATGTTTGTTAACGTTTGACGTTCGATAATCATTATGTAGGTAAGGTAACCAAAAGGCATGCTTGCAGTGCATTGTGTTGGTGATGACATATGCCGTAAGAATGTGTGTGGAGCAAAAACGTAATGAGCAAGTATGATAAACGTTTTACAAACATTAAATCACTGTTACACTTACAATTCAGGGTTGGACACCAATATTCCCCAGATTCAGTTTGTTACATTAGGCTGAAGCACTCTTTCGGCAGCCGACGAAGGAATCTATTCAGCCTAAACGTAAATTGAACATCACCACAACCTGGACCAGCAAGGACATATGAAATTACTATCCATCTGGAGCCAAGAGCACCCCATGACAACACGTCACAAAATATGGGTTGGATATCAGCCATGCAAAACGACATTGCCTACAAGGAATAGAGACATTCCTACATGCGGACCAATTTGTATTAGTAGGCTTTGGTGTTTGTTGTCGTACTGTATAGAGATAAGCGCTATAGCAGCATTGCGTAGGAGCAGACTACGGCAGTGTTATTTGTGTGTAAATCGCAATAGAATTCTCCACTCGGGTGGATACTAGTTGTAGCAGTTTGTAGCTTCTACGGTGTTATACTTAGAGACGACGTTGTATACGTGCGTACTGTGTTGGTCCGTAAGTCGTATGATGCGTGCTTTTATTGGTCTTTCGATTTCATGTCGAGGTACGCGAATTGCCGCCAGATTAGGTACGCGATGTGTCAGCGTGACGTCATTGAATGACGTCACCAACTGCACAGTCAGTCGGGATTCCTCCAATACGATTGTCCGTCTGTTGACTTTCAGTATGCGCCGCCAGCAGCCATGCGGCGCACACTGAGACTACAGACTAGACGACAAAAATCAACATGATCTGAAATACATGCTTTTAGTGACACTTTGTTTGTTATCTTCTCTTGTCACAATGGTGATGAAAATGTCGAAAGGGGATGTAACGATGAACAGCCATCGTGTAAAACAGTGAAGTGCGCTAATCAACGAGTTGTTTTTCAGCTCCTAATGATCATGTTTGGAAGAAGAACGCTCCAAAGTCACGCTTCGAAGACGTTACCACTCATTAGCCGGACAATTTCAGATTCGTACCATCAAAGTCGTAACACATTAGCCGGAAATTTTCAGGTTCGTACCGTCAGAACTTGATAACGAAGCTATACAAGAGAGCCCGTCAAAACACACTACACAGGCATTCGATGTTGGGGAGCGGTGTGAAAAATACAACGGTGTCAAACTGTTGAGGGAGGACAAAATACTTCAACGACAAAACAAAACGAACGGAAAGTGATGATTAATGTCGATGAATAGAAATAATTATGGACAGCGTAAGCTCCACTCTTCAATCAGTGAATATCGACGACCATCCATCAACTAGTATAGGCGGTATAAAATATATATTTTCGGCGACGGTGTTTGTCTCGCAGCACTGCTGGTCCAGGTAAGTCTCAGCAGAAGATCACTGACAGGTGCACAATGCACGATCACGCACCGTGCACCGAGCACCTCAATCACCAATCAATCGCGGCGTAACAGCTCTCACACGCGCCCAACCAGACAGTGTCTGACATCCACATTCACTCATCCATCAATCACACGCCGCGTAACAGCGCGGCTGCCGCCCGTCCGCCAATGAACGGTCTCAAATCCGTTGTCCGCCACCAGATAGTTCCGCCAGCGTTTGTTCGTCACAGTAGAAGCCCTACACAAGGCCTCGATACCCTCTCATACCTAGCATCCTCAAAGCGCAGCATTGGCACAACAGCAAACAGGTCGGGGACTGCGCCGGTCGGGGCGATTCGCCGTCCCGCCGTCGTCATTGACTCCCCATTGCACCTCCAAGACTGTCTGAACAGGCAGTGACACACTGTCACCGTGCATCACAGGACTCGCACCACTCGCACACCACACAAAATTCATCAACGGAGCACCACAATTAGGTCTTGAACCACGTCTGCGCGGCCTCTCCATTCAACGGCGAAACATCACTGTATAAATATTTCACAGAGGCAACAACAATTCGTAGGTGCCGGAGGCCATTGAGCAAGGTCCTTCAAGTCCATCGCTCATAGATAGAGAGAAAAGGGAGGAAGGCACGCATAAACGGTATACCCCACCAAGAACCGATTCCGCCGTCGAAAATGACTCAGTACTTTTAGAGAGGCGGATGTACGCCTCAGACGATGTCAAGGAACCCGACTGTTGGCAGACCTGCCGTCGGTGTCAAAGCACATGCTTGTTCGAATGTGGCCCTTCCATCAATCAGGCCAGCTCGGGTTAGGACGTCAAGCTGGTGGAGAGGTCGAGTCTAACCGCAAACTGTCGCCTTTCTTTCCTGGCGCTGCTGCGACTCCTTGCATTCTGAAGTGCCAGTCACCGCCTTTAGATGGTCAAACTGGTAGCCCGACAGACGTCCTGCCCCTCTCTTCCACACAATAGACCACTGGTAGCCAGAGGGATCGACCCCGGCCTCCCAGTCAAGCCAGGGTAGCACCGCTAGCCCCTCAGGTTCACTGAACAGTCCAGCGTGGCTGGAGAACGGCACCAGACCCCGACCGTCTCTCGCAACCCATCACGGAGACATTATATGAAACACTGTTCGGCCATCCTGGATATTACCGACCCGAACTATCGGGCACTCGGTCCCCTCAGGAAACGCCTCCATGGCGTCCGTTTGACTCTCCAGCTGTTACCGCATCTCACGCAAGTTACCAGTCACTGGCTCAGTCCAGTCCATCTCTCGCTGCCTTCAACGCACCAGTCAGGCCGCGCTACGCACAACTCAACTGCCAGGAGCATCACGTTAGTCCTGGCCCAGCATTATGCCTTACCTCGGCGGTCTCATAGGGCCCATTGCCGACTCCGGTCTGTCGTCTGGTCCACCGGACCGCGTGGTCCGGCAGACCGTGTGGTCCATCGTGGTCCACTCCCGGTTCGTTATTTGGCCCGACTTGCCAGGTGATTAGGCGCGTCGGCAAATGTGTACTTGAGCTTGAAAGCCTCGGCGACCAGCAGACTGATCTCAGAGTTTGTCCAGTTGTGGGTCGGCAGGTTCTGAAGCGTTAGCATCAGTCCCTGGCAGCGGAAAATCGAAGGAGTTACAGTTGGAACTTGCGGAGGGACCAGAAGCACAAGAACACTCCTTGAAATTGACATACGACTCAGTGTATTGCTGTCAATTGGAAATACAAGTTGCTTAACCCTATTCCTGGCGGGCTCCGCCGGGACAAGAAACTGGCGGGGGGGGCCGATTCGGCCCCCCCCCCCCCTGAGATCTCGAGAACGAAGCAAGATAGCGACAAGCGGTAAACGGCATCGGATACGCACGGCCAAGGTCTACAATTTTTACTAAGGTCATTTTCAGGTCAGGTCAAAGATGACGTCACAGGGGTCGAAAAAGTCAAAATGGCGGCGCTAGATATGGAGAGAGTTTTTCTCGAATAACTTTCGAATTAGTCAAGATAGGAACAAACTAAGGGCATCATCGTGATCCTCTCGTCAATCCGCATCGAATGATATATATGTTGACCTCGAAAGGTCAAGGTCAAAGGTTGACCTCAGGTCACGTGACCTCGAGGTCATCATGTATATCATTCGATGCGTCTTGACGAGCTGAACACAATGAGACCATCCACGCGTCTGTATCTTGTTCCTGTACGGAGTTATTGGCCAAAAACCTTTGGTGACCTTTGATGACGTCACATGACCTCACAGCTGCCCAACAGCAAAACAGACCTCAAGGTAGTGAAGATTGATCGTATATGAAGTCATGTATGGTATATGGGGCCATTCCGACCCGTTTTAGTGGTAAAAACAGGGAGTTGATTTTTCCCCCATTGACTTATAATGGGGAGGTCGCGAAATTGACCTGACCTTAGGTCACCGATATCAAAATTCCGAGATATACAAATTGCACATACTAGTACCCTAACTAAACCCTGAAGAGAAGAAATTGATCGGTCAAAAACTCTAGCTCTGGCGTGATTGCAAACTTTTCTGAGATAGGGTCACCAAACCGCCTCTGGTGACCTGACCTGAGGTCAGATCAACTCAAAATTTTCAGACATGTTGCGTAGAAGCCTTTTAGGAAAAGTCAGAAAATTTGAGCTTCCTAGCTCAACGCGTTTGGGAGAAATAGCCAAAAAACCTCAGGGGGGGGGGCTCCTGAGGCCCCCCCCCCCCGCCAGGAATAGGGTTAAAGATGTAAAGGCTTCATAATTTAAACCAAAGTCGATATAAGCTGAAACCGACCCAACCCCTTTCATTTCTCACCTGGAAATCTTTCTCCTGCATCAGTATCCGGCTCCAGTATGTGAGGAAGGCGGCGCACACGTACAGGTGGAAGCTGGCGAAGCCGTCCACCTCCGAGAGGTAGGTGTCCCACAGTCGGATGGTGCAGTGGAGCGGCAGCTCGCGCATCAGGAGGTTGTTCATCCAACGGAACGCGAACTGCAGGTAGTCGATACCGTGCCGAGCGATGTGCGCGTCCAACGGCGCTGGGGAGGGAGGGAGAGCGGGGTGGGAAGGACGTTATTGCGAAAAAAGTAGAATACTGGTGCTGCAGTTGAGTGGGCGAGTTTTAGTGAGTGATGAGTGATCCAAAAACAATACGGAATGCACCTAAATAGTGGTAGAGGACATTATGACAAACTATTCAATACCTCCAAATTTCGAATTTCTTTTTCTGTTTCCTGTTCTTCATAAAGCCACCTAACCTTACAAATCGTTTCAACTCTCGGTAAAGCTAATGAACAACACACGCATCCCATCCTCTCGATCCTCGCTCCCCACTCACCGTCTATCCGCTGGACGAGCTCCTTGAGCTGGGTCACCTTGGTCTGGATGCCCGGCTGGGCGAACGTGTAGTTGTCCTGGATGCCGTCCAGCAGCAGAGACATGGACCAGAACGAGTCGGCCTCGATCACACGCCGCTCCGGCTCCGCCAGAGAGGCCACGTCGTAACTGTCGATGTCCGTGCCTGGTAGAGGGGACAGGGTAGTAGGGATTAGAGAGGGAGGGAACAGTATCTCAAGACCTTGGGTCAGATGGGTCAGTGAAGAGAATTAACCAGTTTGTTTTGTTTTGTTGGGTTAGGCCCTTTCGGTCTGACAAGACCATTTCAGAGCCGGAAGGATAGTAGGAATTAGGGGTAGACATTGCTCTGGGCAGGCAACCTAGTGAGTCACCGGGGCTGAGACCGTCCAGAGTACAGGCCGAACAGCCCCCCAAGCACTCACTGCACCCGGCTACGAGTGTGCTCCCTTGGGAGCAGCGGTTCCGCTCCAAGGGAGCAGCCTGCATGAGATAAAGCCGCCAGTCCAGCCCGGACCGAGGGTTGCGCCGTGGAGGAGAAGGATTTTAATGTCCTGAGGATGGAAACGACGGACGGGGTTCTTTTCCCAGTTATGTGGATTGTGGGCTTGCTGTTATACTTATGTTAAATTGCCTCGAAGTGGTTAAGTGAAACAATATGGTTACATTATAGTTCAGTGAAAGTTGTGTTTGCGATTCCGGAGTGGCGTACTGTTTTGAGAAGAAAATTGCTTACAACAGAAACAACGGCGTACCAACAATATTGCCATTCAGAAAGCGTTTCCAGACTTCTTCGACTCAGTTATTTCCCTTTCATGTGCACACTAACTCGAGCCCTGCAGCCCCTGACCACAAAAAAACTTACCGGGTGGCAGCACCTCCTGCAGGAAGACGATAAAGTAGGGCGTCACCAAGTCGTTGACCCCCTGCACGTAGCCCGAGGCCGGGTGCCGGATGGCCCAGATGTAGAGCACGCGCTCAAACATCTCCTGCACGCAGTGCTGCTGGAAAAGCGGGATCAGCGGAGACATGCGCGGGATGTCGATGTGAATCTGCGGACAGAAATGGTTACAGAGGTCAGGTCAGGTCACGGCATGACAGCGGTTACACAAGCTGGAACGCTGATTCATAAAGAAAAACAATTAATAAAACCATGGAACTAGCCCTAGGAATCACACCTTGTCTTTTATAGTAGGTACACTATTCATAAATTGGGCGTGGACTTCACGCGCAAGTAAATCAAGGTGGAGCAAGCTGACATATTCAAGACAAAGTTCACGCAAACATATGTCTGCTTAAGTCCATACTCGACCTCCATTTTTATGCCTCACTAAAAAGAACTACCCTCCAGGTACCATAACTATTATCCAGCCTCACCTGTCGGTACGTATCCTGGTGAATATCATCGTGCCGTGTGTCATAGTACTGCTGCACGAAGCTCCAGTACTCGTCCCGCTTTCGGCAGAGCGTGGGCTCGCGACGCTCTCGGGGCAGCGGCAGGTAGCCGGAGAGGAGGCGCCAGGCGACGGCCCGCACGGGGGACGGCACGCCGCCCCAGCAGAGGGCGCGCAGCTCGTCCAGGGTGGTAGCGCCACCGTCGATGGCCGCCTGAACCTTGGCCAATCGCGCCGCCTCCCGGTCCAGGCCTGGAACAGGTGCGAGCAGGGGCAGAGCTGAGATTAGCGGCTGGCTTCATTGGAGTATTAAGGATTTCCGACACACTACTAAATATTGCTTTCGGCGTTTCTATGCTCATACATCAGCACAATCATAAAAATACTGATGATAAGGGAGGGGTTGAGCTGGAAAGGCAAAGTACTATCCCAGCTTTATCGTGACATTTGTGTCGCTGATCAGGGAAGGTCCAAATAAATAATGGAGCTGTTTAGTTGCACCCAGGCAGATCGAGCCAGCTCAGAGCCGATCACTCTCAGCCTCCCACCCACCTGCGTTGGCCTTATCCTGCAGGTATCTGACGGGCGGGTGTCGGAGCACGGAGCCGGGCCGCAGCGGCTGAGGGTGACCCGGCATCCGGGGGCAGCTGGTAGGGTTCATCAGGCCGCCCGTCGGGGGGCTGCCGGACGCCGCCGCCGCCTGAGGTCCTGCGCGGAGAGGTGACCATCAGACAATAGAATCGAGACGCTTGATGTTTGATTTAGAAACAGGAAGTAGGGGAGAGTCGAGTGCCAGACAATATGCGCCCATAGAACGTTAGCGATAAGCAAACGCTGTCGCAGTTCCAGCACGACAAAAGACAGGACTAAAAAGACTCAACACGGCAGCTACCGCAGCAGGGCAGTGCCGATAGTTCAGCAACGCCGCTGTGCCGGCAAAGGAAAAAGAGGGATGACGTGAGCGAATGAGGCATGACCACAGCGATACGCTTGCACTACGACATACTTACTCAGCAAACTATACAAAAGGAAAACAGGTGCACTTGACCCGAAACGGAATGGAGTGAACTGTCAAAATCACGGAAAACGGAAACAAACCAAAAACGGAGAGCAAGCCAACGCCACGAGAAATCAGGCACGGACTACTGAGGGCAGAGCGTCGTGGCCAGGAGAATAACTCACTATGGACAAAGAACCCTTTATCACAAAGTCTGCTGGTCAGATGACAGTTAGTCAGCCCCAAACAGTTAACATCCTGGAAGCATGCATCCGGGCCCGCAGATAACGTATTAGTCATACTGGTAGCAGCGCATGCTTATGCGACTGGAGTAAGTCACCAGACACATGGCATCGGCCCCTGCACGAGGGTCAACAGTCAATACTGCTAATGGAAGCTTATAATAAAAATTCGCACTTTATTTCAAGACAGTCTTTGCAATCACATTCATAGAGTTGGTTTAGAATGGGAAGCTGGCACGCAGCTAGCACACACTGCACTCTGAGACCAGGACCCAACGCGCTTAGGAATAGGCAAGCCACCCTCCGTATAACCCTTCAGTCTGCACCTACACCACCCTCCCCCATTTTCTGACCACTCAGGATCACGAAGGGCCCGCTCTGTTTAATTCACAGCACGGTCTAACCCACCGCACGGAACCAGTCTGGTACCGGCCCGGTAGATCCAATAGACCGGCCGACCTGTCAATATTCGACCGACCACCCAGCAAACAGACGACAAACGCCGCGGGGCACAGGGCAAACACCTGGGTGCCGCGCGGCCGGGAGGTACTGGACAAACACTGGGCTGCAGCCAGTGCAGCGGACCGACGACGGAGGGAAAGGAGAGTGACCGTACTGACTGGGTGCATTCTGTGGCGATAGTGGGATACTAAAACTAAAGAAACAGGTTAAAACGATTGATTCAAATGTTTTCTAAAGCTGTACTGTTTACCGACCATACAAATAAAAATGTTTAAGAATTACGATTACCATGCATTCCCTGAATCATACTCCCACTAGTCTGATTAACGCAATACAAGCACTCTCATTCCCATCCAAACAGACGAATATAGCTCACCTTAAAACATATTTCGAAGACGAAAAGCGCATGCGTCGCGGTACTCACGTTGCGCTGCCAGCCGAATCATGGCCTCCGCCTTCCCCGCCTGGGAGACCTCCGTCTTGCAGGGCCGGCTGACCACCGGCGCGGGCGCGGACGACTCGCTGAAACCACGCAGACAGCCCCGATAGAACATTTCCGACTCTACAGTTGTCTCACGCACAGTGCGCCGCTAGTTCAGGACACCCGAGCGCTAAGTTTGGGTGATTTTCGGTCCAGTCATTTCCACATGTAGCTACTCGTGATGATCGTTGATTCACGAAGGCATGAGAGCGAAGTTACTATCGCACGTTCAGCACGTACAGACCATTTCTCCGTCGCCAGCTTCCGCAATGGAATTGATTCTGTCAGCACGGAGCTCGCTCGCCGCCGCCCGTTCCTCTGAGATTTAATACGCTGTTTACTACGGTGCACGGTTCGTTTCGCCACTACCGAATTCCCCCGGGTCAAAACGCGGCTCCAGCGGAGCGTCGAAACCACTCAGCTCTCACAAACAGTACGCCCACGGGGCAGGTAGGCGACTGGCTCAGTACGGCCGGTACGTCACAGTGCAGCGGCTGTGGCCGGCACAGCTGTGCGATCGCACCGATAGAGCCGACAATCCGGCCGCGTGCAGGACCCTAATCACCGCTCCCACCGCCCACCGGCACGCCTCAGAAATGCCTACCGCCCCACCGTCCGACCCAGCACCGCCGCCTTCGGGACATCACTGACTGAGATACCGCACCGTTCCCGAACTCGAGACACCACAGGTGACTGTCACTACCACTGACGTTCACTGTCACAATGACTGACGGGTACTGTCTTAGTGATGACCGTCACTGCCACACATACACCGACCTCCGCTGTTTCAAGCTACAACCACACTTGCCACCACTGTCACAGACTCTCCACGACACACCGTCCCTGTCACAGTCCCTGACGGACAGACACAATCCCACAGACGCACAGTGGCAGATAGACCGACGGACCTTCTTCGAACCCTGCGTGCCACGGTTCCACCGGCGGCCACAGCCGTCCCGAGCCGCAAGGGACCGCAGCTCGTGGTGGCTGGCTCGTGGAGGCACAGCTGCCGATGGGCAGCTGTGCCTGCCCATCGGCCTCGCCCCTCTCCTCCCCACTGACCCCACACATACCGGCCGCTACCGTTCAAGGTCAGGTGCTTCTCGTGGCAATCAGACGTCAATTGTCACCGCGAGAAGTTATGTGAATGTTTCGTAGAGGTAGAGGGAGAATCAAGAGTGTGGTAAAAGAATCGATATCCGGTAGTCTGGGGATGTTGTGGCCTGAATAAACAAACCACAAAAACTCGTAGGTACGTGCAAGCGAGAGAGTCGAGCTACTTATCCTCGCAAACACAACACGCGTGGTAGTAACAAGTTATACGTGATCCATAGTATGAGGTTTGTACGGCAGACATGGATCAACAACACAGCCAACCACGGACATTGTTAACACCGTTCGCCAATCATTGTCAATGCCATACGTCAATGCCAAATCGTGCAGACTGTCATGCTATACCGCCCAGATGCATTTAACGTATCCGCCAAACATATCATCTCACCCAGCTACACTACAAGTGCTGACAAGCTACCTAATAAAACCCCATCGACTTTTCCTCCCCATCCCAACATCCACATTCCACACATATCTCCACATCCCCAGTGCGACCCGTCGCCGCTCAGCCCACCTGTTGGATTCCGGCCGATCGGTAGTCTTTTCCCGCTCATCGCTATGCTCCTGCGTGCCGCTACCGCTGCCGCTGGGCCGCTGATCGCTCCGCGGTCGGCCGCCGCCGGCCGACCGGTGGGACTGGATCACATTGAGCGCCGTGGAGTGCGCCAGGTTCTCCGATATCCGCACGTCTGGAACCCACAGAGAACGTGTGGTCAGAGAGGTTAAGTGGGCGGGCGATACAGTTCAAAAGGTCAAACGGTGCGGTTGAGAAAGGTTTAACGATCGTAAACGTTAGTGACCAGAGATGGCCCATTCGCAGACCCAGTCATGCAAACGTTCGTAGTAAAATGGAACCCTCAAGTCACAAATCTCATTATCTGGGGCTATACAACTTGCAATATGACGTCCCTGATGTGGGTATAACATAATGAGCATGATGAGCTGAAAAGACCATATCGAGGCTCAATTTCATGTGGAGACGATATCCGCGTGATTTGATTGTGTCCACTGCAACAATATGCATATCCTAACTGCTAATTGAAAGTAAACATCAATACATTTCCTATGTATGAATGATTCAGTCTCACAAGAGAGGAAAACACCTTTCAGATATAACATTTCCTCTAACAGAGCCAACTTCCACTCCTGTCTTCCGGTACAAAAACTCCCCCAGCCAGGTCACGCCCGATCCGTCTCATTCATTCTCTGTGGGCACCAGCTCAGCGGGTGATCCCGGAACCCGAATGACCTTCCCGATCATCGGATCGTGCCCTGGTCGGCCCAGCCACCGGCTCTACGCCGTGACCGATTCCCATCACGTACGGCAGAGCCATCCAGGCCAGTGCATTATCCGCGCCCCGGTATGTCTGCTGGCGCTGCTGTTTGTACGATGACCCCTGGGATGATAGCAGGCTCATGGGAGGACGGTCTGCCAGTGTTAGGAGCTAAGGAGCGCGATAGAATACTACCACACCCTGGCGGCTACGAGAGAAGGGCACCAGCTGGTAGTGGTTGTGTTAAACTGGTGGCAATATCGCCGCGGAGGCTGGTCACGTTTGTCTCCCGCTGTCAGTCCGCCGACACGGTCTCACAGTAGATAACCGCAGCCGACAGTGTCAGACAGTGGCCCACAGTGGCCGCCGCGGACGGGTGGGTCGGGTCGATAGGGCGCCTGTCACTGGGCGGGCGCAGCTCGACACCGGTCTCACCACACCAAGGAGATGCCTGGCGGCGTTTACAGCCTCTCCAGACGGGAGAGAGGAGGGGAGGGGCAGAGGGGCGAGACGGGAGGAAGCACGTCGATCCCGCAGCTCAGGTTCCGGTCTCAGACTTTCCGAGCGAAATCCAGCGGCTCGTAATGAAACCGAGCGTGCTGGGAGGCAGAGAACGCGGACAAAGGCACGAACAGAACACTTTGGATAGGTAATAGCAAATGCTTTGGGGGTTACTGAGCTCGCGAGCAAGCAATGTAGAGTGGCTTTGTAATACCAGAACCGTTTTCGTACAACAATGCAAGGAAAAAATGTCATGACTTAGTATGACATGCCTAAAACGAAAGAATGTCACACTAACTACTGGAATAATGGTCCCCCGTTTTGCATCCAATTCACTTACGTAACACCAGAAGGAACCTAAGGCTTCACGAGGTCAAGATCAACGTCAGCTAGCCCTTCTTACACTCGGATATAATGATAAGTGACAGCGAGATGGAAAATGCGTTCAACCTTAAATCAAGGCGCCACTCCAGTTCCTACAAACCAACAAGAGAAAACACGCCGTCAGAGTTTCGTTGCCATAATCCGTGGGAATGCTGCAGCTCCGCTGATCTTCCGTTCAGTCGGAACACTTTGGTTTGAACGATTTGTGTCGAAAAACGATTTCTGGAAAAAGTGACACTGAGCCTAGTTCTCAGTAGGTTTGCGCTGCTATTTCAATGTGCTGTTGAAAAAGGTAATTGCAGTGGAAATGAGAAATATACTATGCAGCAACAAGATGATACGCTTAGCATTCAGCACAAGCAGTATTAAATTAAAATTCCAGCTTTACACACCAACACTCGGAAAAGCCTGCAAACGGCAGCAGTTAAATGAGGGCCTTCCATTCTGGCCGTCTCCAGAGACATATTGCAGCTGATGGTGGCCATAAACCCCACATTCAGCCGGGCCTCCAATATAGCTCCGTCTGTGTAATTTACTCGGACGACCCAGAGTTCGGCAAAGACGCCCCATGGGACACCTAATCCAGAGGCAGTCGCTCCAGTTAATTAGCGTCCCCTGAGAGAGCTCCACCGTGGCCTGCCAGTTTACATACAATACACATGCGAGAGTGACCGAACGTACATACAGACAGCGACTGGCTGGCGAACTCGACAGGAAAACTGATACCGTTTATTGGCAGTCACCAGACCAAGACTGCCGAACAGGCGGCGCAGCTGATAACTTGAGGCGGAAGTGTCGACTAGGGCGATTATATGGACGGGTTTCGTGCTAAAGAATAAAACAGCACAGAAGTAAATTGAAAATCAGGGTTCATCACCTTCATCAACTGTAAAGGGTTATGCTTACTCGCATACTAGTCTCATTCATTCACAAGGAAATGTCGGCAACGCGCTGCCAGTCACATGAAATACAACGCCAAGAATGACGCCTTTGTGAAAATATGCTATATCGTGGCATTCCAGCACAAGTCAAGCCACCTTACACAGCATAAAGCCCTTATTACATCACACCACCTGAATTCGTGGAAAAATATGGTTCTGGAGCACCAGTGAAGGCACACCACTCCAGTACCGCATTTACCAACACTACCCCTACACTTAAGTTCCCCATTCCCGGTCGGCTCAGCAGAGAGCACGCCACTCGAATCAGCCACCAAATCTCTATCTGCCGCGGCGGCGGCTGGCGCTTTGTCCGCTTTACCTGGAGCCCCAGCAGACTGGGTGCTAATCCCGTGTCGAACCAGTCCGGCTCAACTGAGATAGCTCTGGGCCGCGCGGCCGGTCGGCACTGCCTGACGCCCGCTCGTACACCAGCCCAGTGAGAACCAGGGCACCGCAATGCCACTCAGCCGCAGAGACGGTGCAATAACCGAATCGCGGAAATGCCGCGATCTGTCTCAGCGATGGGTTTGGAACATGCAACGCAGACGGATTTCAGGGGCCAGCGTACTCACTGTAAGCTGCTTTGTTGGTATTATGCAATCTCATGGCAAATAGTTCTCATAGTTTACGCACGGAACTTGACTTTTATCTATTCGATTTACCAAATGTTGTGCATTATACCCGATTGCTTGATGCACATCCAGTGGTATGTTAAGGGTCGAATTATTGTCGATGTCTTCATTCATCGAGCATACAGGCGCCAACCATCAGACGTTATCAACAATGCAAAGTGGGTCGTAGCGCCCGTGGTTCAACAAGTTTAATGGCACATTACAGTACCTAATAAAGTACAATAAGATACACCAGTAAAGCCTCTAGGGGCGATATAGCAAAACCATGGCCGCGGTTATCGATAGAAGCAGATCTTGAGTAAACAGCCAATACCGTCGATGCATCGGTATACAACTATGCATTATCTTGAAGTTTGCCGTGCGATCAACATGCATAATTGATCTGGATTATGCACTATGAGATGACATTTTGATGGTTATGTGTTCTCATCTGTAGTTGTTTGGGCTTTACGAGCGCGTCGACTGCGAGGTTATCTGTGCAAGTATGCTCCTCTAGGAAATTAAATGTTAAACAAAAATAATAAAAGTACAATAACTAGTTGTGTTTTACATATGGCATTGTAAAAGCAATACCATAGATGGCAATCATAGGTCAACGTTTATTATTGAAGACTGTATATCGCAACTTTTTGGACAAAAGTCACGCCACAGCGTAACGAAAATCGTAGCAGCGCAATAAAAATAAATCTTCAGTATAGCTTTTCCACAGAGCTTCTTATTTCGGACAAGACAAACTGTTTATCCAAGAGCGAACATAAACATATGCAGTGTCTACATTTTGCCGGATTAGTTCAACAATATCCGGTGTCGTAAAAAATAGTGGATAACTTGCACATCGTCGTCTCTTTTCTCTTACGTCAGAAATCCCATGCTAATGCTGATGTTTAGGCTTTGAGAGAGCCCCGAATGTGCTGGTCATCACCACCAATTGTGATGCGCTAGATGACAGATCCAGGGCCCAATCTTACCAATGCCGTGAATAGGATTTGTCAGCACTGGCCGGAGTTTACGGCACTGATATCAAAGATGTCCTTTTTATTTACCTCCAGGTAATCTTGTCCAAGGATTTTGATAGCGTGAATGATTATGATTTATGAATGTCGCCAGAACGCATGAATGTCGCCAGAACGGGTACTGAACATCAAAACACAATGGCTCGCCAAGCTAAATTGGCCGACCTGATACATTGCCACTCACATCAGTCGTTTCATTTGCCTCAGCAAGAGTGCGGCCTCACCTTTCTGTATTTTTCCGGAGATGATGCAGAACTCGTCGTCGCCATCGTCCCAGGCGTCCTCGACCGACTGCTGGAACTCGTGGAAGTTGGCCCCTCCCGAGGCCTCTGCCGGCGCGTGGCGCGGGCTGGGCCTGGTGGTGGGGCGAGTGGTGGGGATCCAGTCACGCATTGCGGGAGACGACCGAGACTACCAGCGATGACGGTCTACAGAGACAGTGACAGCAGAATGAGGAGGGTAGTGGCTAAGGTATTGAAACAACTTTATAGCCTTTTTGAAGTAAAAGAATATCAAAATGCCTGATAAATGGAATAAATGCTACCAGCAAAGCTACAGCCACTTGTGCAATGTTACAATGTTAACTAGAAGGAACCATTACAAAAGTAGGCAATTAACGAAAAGTTGCAATGTATACAATAACTAAGGACTGAGTGAGAAATGAACACAAGAAAGTGTTGAACTATTCATGAAAAAAGAACCAGCAGTTTATGGCATACCAAAATTACAATAAAGCACTGGCACTTCAACAAAACAACAGCACTGGCACATCTGCACAACTGCTAGTAACATGTGCATCATAACCAAGGTGAAAAAGGAGGCATTTATAGATGTCTAACTAACCATTTCACTTGCATTCAACTATGAAATGATTCACATAGACAACATTTATATCAGACATGTGCATGGATCCGAGTGATGGATCTATGATCTCAGTGGATCTCGAAGCAAAGTACAGGTTGGGATCTATGATCCCACCGGATCCGGCTTGAAAAATACATCTTGGATCTATGATCTCATATGATCTGACGATAAATTAAAAACATGGATCTATGATCTGAGTGGATCCCACCATGTACCACATTTAAAACCATGTTTTAAGGGTTTCTATGCCAATAAGTGACACAAAACTATGGAATATGACGTGCGATCACATAAAATCACTAAAACAGAACGTTTCTGAGTTGAAACAGGTGCTTTTTTGGGATATATGTGTTGACAAAAAAAATAAGTGAGGATCTATGATCTCACTGGATCTCAAGCAAAAAATGAGACTCGGATCTGTGATCCCTACGGATCTCTCAATAAATTACAGAGATGGATCTATGATCCCGTCGGATCCGAGATCAGGATCTGTGGGATCAGATCCCAGATCCATTTTCTCGGATCCATGCGCATGTCTGATTTATATAGCCTTTGACAAGCTGGGAAGCAATGTTCATATCAGCAGCCATACTTCAAATAGCAATGCCTTAGCATGTAAGAAAAGCATTGCTTTCTATGAAGATGACATTCATGTACATGCTAGGATTGGTAACTTACTGAGGAGACCAGTCTGATGTAATTGGAGGGTGCTGAGCTCCATAAACAGACTTCATACTAAATGCAGCATGTGGTAGGTGGATTTGATCAGTTAGCATAAAGTAAAAAGAACCACAAATTATGCATTGCCTGTCTATACATTTCTAGTAAATAATAGTTGGCTTGCTTATAGGTCAAACACATGCTGACCAAATGGCATGATAATACTTGTTATTTTGTAAAAGTGGATATACATATATGTAATATATTTGCTGGTTTGCATCTGTGCATTTAAAAATACAGCTAGGTATTTATCCATGTCTGATGTCATAGGCGCATTGCCGTGAAATTTTGCCACCGCGTCCAGCGTAATTCTATTTGCTGCAATTTTGCCACACTGGTGGATGGATGCTTTTCAGGGCAAACAGACAATTTTATAAATTTCAGTGCAAGACAATAAGATCTAGCCTCAGTCGGTGACACACCAGGGAAATAAGCTAAAATTAGAGCGCTCTATTTATTGCTCCCGCTACTTCACCGTCTCCCATAGGGTCCTGTGTTGAGCTGGTGTCGAGGCTCTAAAAATGACGCCGATTTTTGCACCCTTCTCACGAAAACCGCTCGGACCGCCTGGAAACCAATTGTTCCGCTCTAAAAATTTCATGATCGACGGGAAAATGAATGAGGAAAAGATTGGTCCTGAAATAATTCTGAACTCCCTGTAGAACATATCGAAATATGGCTGCAAACTAGGAGCATGTCAAAATCGACAAAACAATACAAATAAACTTACCGGGATTTTTTTATTTTCCATGCATCTGTGTATGAAATCAGTCGGTTTTTCGGAAAGATCATCTTCTGTTTAATAAATAATTCCACAATTGCAATCGAGAAAAAAAAACATTTCCGCTGTGACAGCAGTTTTGGCATTGTGCCAGTATTGTGGCGTGCGCGGTGCTGCGTGGTCGTCGGGACGGAGTTGTGAGTATTTTCGGTGTTTTAAATGGTTGATGGCCATTTGAACCAGCTTCATATTATTTCCTACCAATTTTTGCATCAAATTATTGCTTTGAAAGACCATTGAAACCCCTAATCTCTTCATGAAACACGATCATATTCATCGTCGACGAAAATGGCGCGGGACTCCATGTGCATTCCGATCGAAATAAATCGTAAATTAAATAATATTCGATGATAAGTATCATATTCTAGTGACACATTTTTATAAAATAAGGCATAAACTTTGCAAGGAAGTCAACATTGGATGATTGGATTCTTATTTTGCTCACATATCCTTGTAGTAGTCAAATGGCTCAATTGTTAGATAGATGGAAGTATATGTTTTGGCTTGATGTTTGCTGTGAAACCACCCAGCCACTTGCTGGTTGAGTGGTTTTCTGATAATTACCTGATAATCATTTCTCCTTTTCCTTAAAAGAAACTAAAATTCCTTTCAAAGTAATCCATTTTAAGGAAAGGCGGCTTGCTCATTGGCATTTCATGTTCTTGTTTTGTTATTGCTGGCAGTATTTTGATACAATAATGCAATATGAATTTTTTGCAATAATAAAACCTAAGACAAACTTAGTTAATGCGTCAATCAAACACCCAACAGGAAGATTGTGTGTCCTTGTGACGTGAAGTAGAATATTCTATGAATGTGTTATATAGAATATGCCAAATATTAAATTAATTATTATTTGATACTGATAGCTGAGCAGGTGAATTATGCCACAATATGATTTCATTTTCTGGTTTTGAAATAGCCGGCAGTATCTTACTTCAACAAATGTAATATACATGGAATACATGTTGTTATGTTACCCATGTTAAAAGTTTAATAACAGCCAACAGAAGGAGCTGTTTCAGCAGATAATGTTTGTACCTTATGCATTACCTTTCTTTTCTGCAGGACCATGCTTCCGCTGGGTGGTCGACATTTGCCTCCTGAAGAAGTTGAGCAACATGAAGACCACCAGATGAGGTGTCTGCAGTTCATGTGGAACTCTGCAGACTACAAGTGTTATGCCAACCACAACCAAAGTGCTGTGATCATGGAGGCATGAACCTCATGACAACACTTCAGATTTGCAGTTGAACCAAAGTGTGATTCAAACCACCTGTGGCATCTCACTCAATGTGTGAAGCTGTGAACAGTGTGATTATTGTGCAGTGTTCAGCTGCAACTAAGACATTTATTAGTGACTTGTTTTGCAATTAGCCACCAAAAGCATTTTTTGGGCTGGCTGCTGTAATTTGTTGTGCACTGCGCAATAGTGGTAGTGTTTTGTCACTTGTCAAGTTGTCAGTTGTGCATGTTGCATGTTTCTCTTCCCTCGGCCCTCATTATCAGTTAAGTGGTGAATTGGCATCACTCAGTCTCCCCAGATCTCCATTGACTGTCTGTCAACCACCTAACTTGAGATGGTATTTGCTAATAGTGTCAGAAAAGAAGTGATTGTAGACATTTTTAGGAGTATGAGCTCCGTTTCATGCGTGTTCCAGTGGTCATTTTGTCACATGTCCCATAGTGTAATAAATGGAAACTGTTGTTCCCTTTTGAAGGTACTCGCGGATGCAGAAAGCGTTGGGCCTAATTATTAAACGCACCCTCCTATCAGCGACGCACGAAATCGACAAATATCATCCTTTTTAGAACAGGAAGAAACGAAAACTTCTGAACATAGCTGTACCTACAACAGTGCATAAGGAATTGAAATCCTGGGAGTTTTTGAAATTCGGAGAAACTCCAGTTGTCGACAGGTATGCCCCCTTGCACGTCAAAGACCGCCTAAAAAACAAACGTCTACAAATGAAGGCAGTATTCGTATGTTCGTTGTAATTGCAGCAGCCTAGCAACATGTATTGCGGTCCGATGGCGAATTACACTCGTGCTCAAAAACTATGCCGGTAACTGCCAATGCACTTAGGTCATAGGTGAGGAGAGAAAGGGTTATGTCATATATCAACATCATAGAAATGGCTTCATCTGAGCTGTGCCTATTGTACGTAAGTCAACCAATCTATGCATTTCGTTTCTTGCAATCTACTCATGCTTTCACTCCAGCTTCAGAGTAATCATCCCATATTGTACGTCTTAAGATATTGATTTCTATGGCGGTTTGCAATTACTAGCCACGTCTCACCTCAGTTTGGTGGCCCCGCATCGGCCCACTCGGCCGCTCTAAAATTGACTTACGGAGGAGGATGGTGGCTTTTATTTTAGCTTCTCCGCCGACTGCGGGGAGCGCCGTCGCCGAGGTAGGAGCAATAATTAGCTTATGTTTGGGACTAATTTCCACGCTTAATTAACATTTTAATGTTATTTTAATTAATTCATGTTAATCTTTGACGCATTCTCTTTCTATTGATACCATCCACCGGTCTGAGAATTACTGCCTTGCTGCGTAAGGGCCGATAAAAGATCGCGCTTTTAGGGGTATCTCTTCAACATGGGGCAGGAGCAATAAATAGAGCGCTCTAATTTTAGCTTATTTCCCTGGTATGTCACCAACTGGCCTTGGCTAATTTCAATCACTACGTAGGTAAATTACATACCAATCATACACCTGAGACAATGCAATGACTGACCGATACCTACATTTAATCATGTTCATCTGAGGCTACCGACCCAATGAAGGCATTTTTTATTCTTTAGAAATCTTACTTTTTTGAAAAAAGTTTCAAAATAATTAATAAATATGGTGAAGTTCAATTACAATTTGAATTAAATGTCAATGTTCATGCACGGTAAAACATACCTTCCAGGTACAGTTTTTGTGTTTTTCTTCCAAAAAGCACTTCTGCTGTCCCTTGCAGAAGTTTCGCCAGTTGCTTGCATTATCTTGATCAGAAATTCATTAAAATCACACAATTATGACCTATCCACACCTCCCACCACTCTCTCTCGTTCGCAAAATAACACAAGCCGCGAGACAAATGTGGCTCATAACAACATTCCCCTTAGAATGCTAAAAAGCTGCACAAAATCGGACCGATGACGTCAAGCCAATAGGACGTCAGTTACAGACTGATGGGCCGCAGCCGCAACTTGGCCGCAACCCCCCCCCCCCCCCGCCCTTAGTTTGCTAGATTTGAAAGTTATTTCCAATACTCTAGTTGATATCTTAAGCAAGTCGAGAGGCACACATCTTTTTCAGAACGATTGATCCCAAAGAGTTACTTAAGTTCACATTGGGCTGGGGCACCAAAAGTAAAGGGCAGCGGCGTGGCCAGAGGGTAGCGCGGGAGGGCACATGCCCTCCCGTTTGGGTCCAAATGGCTGAAAACGCCTTTATGAGCTCTTAACCCCCCCCCCCCCCCAATGACGTCTGAAGGTTCGCCCTGTCAGGCCCCATTTTCGCTTCGCTATGGGCCAATGCATGACCAAGAGCGTCAATGACCTCTAGCGACATTACAATTGAACCGGCCTACAATGAACGCAACGCTTTTATTGTGCTCTTTGAAGACCTTTCTGCACCCGCCTCCTGCTTGTCGTCGCGAGGCGCAACCCAGGAGCCGAGTGGGAAAACGCCGGACGCCCCTCCTCCCGCGCTCCAGGCGTTGCAATTCGACCATCGTTCTGACGCGAAATATATTATAATAGCTCCCCTACTACCACTTCTATTATAGTGACGATGCCAAACCAATAATTATCCTCGCGTCACTGCACAACAATTCACAACACAGCCAACACAATGGGTAATGGTGGTTCATTTGTTCTAAATGATGCATATGAAAGTGGGTACAATCCGCATATCACCGACAGACAGCACATTGATATTCTCCTCAGACAATGTGCGTGCATACACAATATAGCGGCCACAACAATGTCATAACACTTGGCACCAGCAGGATTTGTTTACATGTTCCACTCTTTTAGAGAATTGTCACATTCTCTCCCCAGTTTCTCTTTCCACCATCACGAGCCTCTTATTAAAGCTTGTTCCCTTCGCTCGCTGAGCCGCGGCGGGGTCGGGGAGAGGCCAAGCCGGCCTTACTGGCGTGCTTCCTGGTGACGTGCTGCATCATGTTGTCGCGCCGACTGAACTTTTTGTCGCAGAACTGACACGGGAACGCCTTGGCGGCATCCACGCCCGGCTCGTGGTGCAGCGCCACGTGCTCGCGCAGGCGGCGCCGGTCGGCGTACCGCGCGTGGCACGTGGTACACTCGTGCGGCCGCTCCTGCGTGTGCGAGCGCCGGTGGCGAGCTATGCGAGACAGCGTCGACGTTCTGAGGGCATCGGAAAACAAGATCCTTAGTGATGGAAAAAGAAGACACCCTCTCCTCAGGCACGAATACCAAATTAATGATATATACAATATGACAACAATCCACAAGAACATTTGGGGCATGGGGAACGCCTTATCTGGACAAACGCTATCCAACACCAGCCCGTCAGTATCCTGTCTGACAATAATTTAGCAGCACTGACCGAAAGTCGCAGATTTCGCAGCGGTACGGCCGGTCCTCCGTGTGCATAATCCGGTGGTGTTTGGTCAGCGCCTGCCGCTCAATGGTGCTGTATGAACACTCGGAACACTTGAACTGCTTGCCCATCGAATGCTTCCGACGCTCGTGCGTCTGTGGACATAGAGGACGCGCACGTCAGAGGCGGTGAATGAGTCACGCTTGCGTTCGAGAGGGCATTTATGGTCGGGACTCGAGACACTCGAAATTGTAGTTGGTGTTTGAGGTCAGTTCATTTGATAAACTTCGTTTTTCTTCTGGCGAATGACAAGTAATCATAAAAGATGTGTAAAAATAACTAGAAGGAAATGTATAGCTATCGCCGGATTGCGAGTTAGCTGCGAGAAAAGCACATTTAACCATGAACCTATCCCCAACCAATCGCCTAACAGCATTACGCACGTCCCAAACATACCTTGAGTTTCATAGAGCTGCACGTGGTGTACTCGCAGTGCCGACACTTGAAGTCGTGCGGCAGCAGGCGTCCCTGCATGTCCTGTCCGTGGATGTCACGCATGTGGCGGCGGATCTGGCTGGGCCGGTTACTCTTGTACGGGCACAGCATACACTGCGGGTCGGCAGACATTTAAAGTCAAATCATTAAATACATCATCGTCGGCCACTTCTAGCCGCTGGGTTCGTACCAATTAGATACAAAGCAACAATGTTTCTGCAGTGCAAAAGGCAAACACAAATACGTTAGGTCAGAGGTCATTACCTCAGGTCAGAGGTCACCCCAACGTAATCGTTGTTGCCTTTGCACGGCAGATTTAGGCACCGAACAGATTACCCCCCAAGTTACCCAAGCAAAGCTTTTTTAGAGCCCGATAAGACATGAACCTAAATTACAGCTTCAAAACTGTTTGCTTAAATGAAATCGAAGGCACATCCCCAGCGCGGAACATCCCCAACGAACACTTTGCACGATTGCTAGAATTCCAATTTCACGATTCAGATAGAACGCCACACGAGTGACCTCTGGGAGTGGGCCACCTTTGTCGGCCGGGCCTCCTGGTCCGGATGCGCGCTGCTGATGTGTCGGTAGAGCACAGCCGGATTTCGGAACTGCAGTTCACACACGGAGCAGGTCAGCAGCGGCGTGTGCTCCTTGCGCCGGTGGCCGGCCAGACGCCGCTCCGTGTCGGTAGTGAACGAACAGTCGCCGCCTGACGGCAGAGGGGGGCGTCAGCTGAGACAGGAGAGACGGTAGGTGGGACATGGAGGTCAGAACGATGGACGGATCGGATCAGGACAGGAAATCGGGTAATAACGGTATGAGGAAATGAAAATGCATTGTTGGATAAAACTTACTTTTTCAGTTAACTGCTAAACTGCAAATGACAATACCAAGCAGCATTAATCAAGCATCACTGAAGTAACACGGCAAAGAGTCAACAGACAGCCCAAACGAAATGACACGTAGCGGATTATTTATCGATAGCGACCGAAACACTTCAAGATTTATGCCAGTAACCGATCAGCACTCACATTTGAAGCTGGAAGCTGCGTCTCCTGCCGCTGCAGGATCTGCCGGCTGCTTCTGTGATGACTTTGTAGCTTGAATGGGTTCCTCCAGCCACCCCTCTATGATTATCTGTTGCGTTGGCTCACTCCTCTCCAGTGTCGCGGCCGGTTGCGTTGGCTCACTCCTCTCCAGTGTCGCGGCCGGTTGCGTTGGCTCACTCCTCTCCAGTGTCGCGGCCGGTTGCGTTGGCTCACTCCTCTCCAGTGTCGCGGCCGGTTGCGTTGGCTCACTCCTCTCCAGTGTCGCGGCCGATTCCGTTGGCTCACTCGTCTCTAGCATGGTGACCGGTGGTTGTGACTCATCTTCCTCTACCCTCGTGACCGGTAGCGATGGCTCACTCTCTTCCAGCCTAACGGCCAGTGGTTGTGGCTCACTCCCCTCCAGCCTTGTCGCCGGTCGCGGTCGCGGTGATTCACTCCTCTCCAGCCTCGGTGGCGATTCACTCCTCTCTAGCACGGTCAACGGTGCACCCTCTATCCTTTCCCCTTCCACCACCACTACCGTCGACGCCGCCACCGTCGTCCGCCCCGTCCCCACTGCCTTCTTTGTCACGTGCACAACTCTCAGCGGTCGGTCATCGTCACCAGGAAGCGCCACCTCGACTTGTTCCGCACACCGTCCGCCGGCCGCCGTCTCACGCTCATCATCGCTCTTCTTTGCCGTGTTCGAGATCTCATCCGCAGTGCTCGAAGCTTCTGTAGCACTCGATACTTCCGGAAGCCTCGACGCCTCTTTTGCTGCCTCAGTCTCCGACTCAGTGTCCGCCTCTGGCTCCGGTTCCACATCCGACTCCGCTTCCACGTCAATCTCCTCCTCCTCCTCATCGTCCGCTTCCACTACCTCCACTGCCACCGTGGGTGCCGGCACCGCCGGTGCCTGCGCCGTCAGTCGAGTGCGGAACGACATCAGCCCGGCGCACGTGTCACTGGCGTCGGCGATGGCACTCGTGTCAACCGTGGAGGGTGAATCGTCGGCAGGGGTGGCGGCGGGGGTTGGTCGGTCGGCCGGGGTAGCAGCAGGAGTTGGTCGGTCCGCTGGGGTGGCGGCGGGGGCCGGCCGGTCAGCAGGGGTAGTGGAGGCCGGCCTGTCGGCTGTCGTGTCAGTGAAGGCTGGACGGTTGGCTGGCGTGGCAGCAGGGGCTGGTCGGTCGGCCGGCGTTGCAGCGGGTCGGTCTGCCTGCACGACGGCAGTCAGCCGTTCCGAGTGCGGCTGGACGGGGGAGGTCGGCCGCTCTGCGCTCTGGACGTGGGCGGCCGGTTGATCCACGTGCCGAACGTAGGCGGGCGGCGGATCCACGCGCTGGACGGACGGAGCCGGTCGGTCGGCGTGCTCAGTGGCAATGTGCCGCTGCAGAGCCGCCATTTTGCCCAGGTCCCGGCCACACACCTGACACACAGTGGACTGGTCCAGTGAGATGAGAGCCGGCATCCTCCTGAAGGCACGCAAAGGAAACGCATGTCAGTCAGCTCCCCTTCCACGGCATACATGCTATCAATCCCTTCAATATCCGAATGATCCACTTGAGAAAGAGCTGAATCCACGAATATCACAGTTCAAACTTCAAGATAACATTATAATACGTTATAGTATAGATAAAAGGTGACTTACTCCTGTGGCTGTCATCTTGGTGATGCACATGATCAATAAAAAAAATCAGTGGGCATAATATCACCCAAATGATGGATTATGGATCTATGCCTTGACATGAAATGAAATATCAGGCATAAAATTCACGCAAACCACGTCCATGACTAACCTTGCACGAGCTCGTGTCGTGGCGCGCCGTCGCAGACGCCTCACGCGCACCGCTTTGGGCGGCATGGGAGACTTCTCCTCCTCAGTGAGGCCGCTGAAGTTTTCGTCGAAGCGCTCGAGCGTGTCGGGTGTGCTGGGCGGCAGGCCACAGTGGTCGATGATGGCCTGCTCGTCTTCGACCACGAACACACCGGAGTCGGGTTCGTCCGCCAGCGATGGCGCCGGCTCCGGGGGCGGCGGGGGCGGTGGAGGGGGAGGAGGGGGCGGCGCCGGCATCAGCATACCCGACCACAGATCCGACCCCGAAGGAGGAGGGAAACTTCCATCCGACCCTGCAAAAAAAAAAAGATGGAGAATTATGAGTAAAATAAGGACAACCGAGATGTGTGGCGAAGAGATGGAAAGATGGTTTAGTTTAGAGCATTCGTAAAACGAACGAATTACGATGCAAATAAAATACAACTCATAAAAAGTTACGATGTCTCGAATTACGATGAAGTACTTGTAAATGGCTATGCAGATTGTGGTGCTCTGTGCAGAAATCGTTATGAATATGACTTATATGGATTTTATGGAATGCTTCTAATAGTTTTTTGACATGCACGTATTGAGCTCAGGCTAGGATAGCATCCAATTTTCCCAGCAGAGCTCGGAGCGCGTCTCCTTCGCGCGTCTCTCACCGTGATCGGGTTCGCGGTGCTCCCGGCCGGCCTGCCTCATGTCCAGTCCCCAGGGGCAGTGCAGTTCGAACTGTGTGCGGACGCGCAACAGAGGCGCGCCGTCCTGCGACCCCTGCGGTCTCGCCTGCCCCTCGCTCTGCTGCGGCTCCTGAAAGTGGCTCTGATGACCGCCCTGTCCCCCGTGCTCGGCAGTACCGCCGGTCGTTGGGCCCCCGGCGGAGGAGACAGCCGGCAGCGCCGGGTCGCGGGCCAGCGCCGCGGCGGTACTGTGATTATAGACCACCTCGCAGAGCCCGGCGGCCGTCAAACCTGCGGCGTCCTCGTGTCGAAGTCCGGAGTTGGTTACCGTCGCCTGTGGGGGCGGCGGCGGCAGCGGTTCGGGGCGGCGCTCCACCGGCGGCGGAGGCGGCTCCGCCAGCTCCGGCGGCCACGGCAGGCTGTGCTCCTGCGCCAGCAAGGCCTCTTGAAACTCTCGCAGCGCCAGGTCGCTGGCCGCCACCGGGTCGTAACACTCGGCTGCCGAGATGGCGACCGGCGCGTGATGCGGCGGCGCCAGAGGCTGGTGCAGCTGATGCGCTTCGGCTCGCGCGTGCATCGTGCGCTGCAGCACCTCGCAGACCTCAGCGAACTGCAGGCAGCTCGCCGTCTCCAGGAGAGAGCCGATACTGCGCTCGCGCAGGTCCACCCAGCCGAAGTACACGAGCTGCACGATCAGGTCCAGCTCGGCCAGCACGGTGTCTGGTCCCTTGGCCAGCAGCAGGCCGCCGATACAGCCCAGTGAGCTCAGTTCCAGAGCGGTGATCACGCCCGTCGGCGAGGCGAGACACGCGCGGAACACCTGGCTGCTGGCGGCCAGCATGATCCGGTGCGCCGAGACCGTGCGGCCGGCGTGCCGAATATGCACGTCGGCGTACTCCTCCTGCTCCAGCAGCCTGGTAAAGTTGGACACGATTATAGCACCATGGTTCTTCCAGCGAACTTTGATGAGTGGATTGATGTCAAACATCTTCTCTTGCAGTGTGTTCTTCGCTGCATATGCCTATCTGAAAGGTGGTTGCAATATTGTAAAAAATAAGAATCATGCATCAAACTTGCATGGTTCAGTATTTTGGCCTGACTAATGTCTCACCCATATACCTGGAAATATTAAGGGTAACATAAAAATAACATGATATGCAAAAGGCTGAACTGTTGGTACTGGTAAGGTGACAACAGAATTCACAATATCCAAGGCAAAGTTTAGACTTGTCACTTCACAACCCAAATAAAAAATGCAGGTTTCAAAGAACAGACACCATGGGTAGGTATCATTTCATAAAGGCCTGGTAGGGTGCAAGACCTTGGTACCAATAATTTCAAGTTTTTTACATTATTTAATATGTCAGTAGGTGGAACTATGGTCATGAGTACCCAAATATAGGAACGTTCCCATTTTTGGGAACGGAGTTCCCAAATATGGGAACGGGCGTTCCCATTTATGGGAACGGAAGGTAATTTTTCGGCCGTTCGCCCACTAAAACTCATAAGTGCATCACGTTTCAAAAAAGTGCACGCTAATTTAAGTATCTACTAAGTCTCTATAAAATAATCTTTAATCTGACCGTTGCACAAGGAAATTGACCGTCGAATGATATTTCTAATGATTTTTTGAAGTGACGGAATGGTGAAAACATGGGTTATACTACATTTAACTTGCAATTTTAAGGAAAATGAAGCGTTTTTTACATTTTGAGGTCAAGTATAATAATTTTCGCCTGGTTATGAAGTTTCATACTAGCGACACCAGATGCTGACATATGCAAGCGAACACGCGGACAGTCCGGGGGTAATATTGGTGACATTTGGTGTCGGGGCGCACGACCGCATGGAACGTCAGTGATTTTACCGAACTACTGTTGTAAACTCAGTTTCAGTGGTTTAAAATTATTCAGCTGTATTCTATCATCCCAGAAAGACATATTTTATTTGGATGCTAGCTGTTTAGAGTTGTTTTATATGGAGCGTCATGAGCGTGGTTTTTGTCTTCCGTGTTTCTAAGCGTGATCGTTTTGGGGGAATTTCTCTTATATAGGTCGCTCTGTGTGGCTTATTTATAATTTTTATGCTGATTTCGATCATTCCTCGTGCCCATCCTACCAGGCCTTTTGCCACTTACACTCATCAAGAAAGGAAAAAACTAGATTTTCATTGGGACTAGGTGTTTTGAGGGTGGGACATATTCAGCGTTCCCATTTTTGGATACTTCCTTGTGCTCGTCAACTATCGGTGATAAACAGACAGGTGCTTGACATGTCTCCACCCTCGGCGCGGACGGTGGATATAGGTATGGAAGACCTAGTTGTTGAACATCGCTGAGCGTTGTGAATTACGTAATCCTGCAGAGGGGGCGTGCCCGCTGCGAGATCGACGGGAATAAAAGCGCAGAAGACCGGGCGAAACATGCGACGGTCTTGCCGGAAAGGTCATCTGATGATTGTTGCGTTAACAATAATTTGCGGCGTTGGACGTGATGCTTGTTAATGAAAAGAGCCCCTGAAAGGCGTCGGTGAAATCGTTCCCAATTTTGGGTACGCCGTTCCCATAATAAGGAACGCTTGCAGCGCCAGTGTACGAGAGCGTTCCCAAATTTGGGCTCGCGGCCCGGATGATGGACTGCTTTAGAAATAGGGGAACGATTTGAAACTACGATGAGCCTTACAATATCAAACTCTTTCCCAACAATATTGAGACAAATATCAGGCGGTTCACGATCGTTTTATATTTTTTGGACGTCATTTAACGGTTCTTTTTCTTGTTTTAAATAATGCCTACATGGCGTTCCCATATTTGGGTTTATCGTTCCCAAACATGGGAACGAAAATGCGTTCCCGAAAATGGGTACGCTTGACCATAGTTCCGCCTACTGATGTGTGGGTGGATAGTGAATAGTGACCATGATGTTGACAAATTGAAAACCAAATTAACATTCTTATTAGATTAGTCTCATTAAATACCAGACATGACATGTCAGAATGGATCAAATTGCTGGATCTGTGAACTCAGTTCATCTTAAAGCAAATGCCAAAATTGAATGTGATCCCATAGAGTCCTACTTTAAAAAATCTGATTTCTGGATCAATGCTCCCATAGGATCTAATGAAAAAACAATAACAGGGACCCATGATCTGAGTAGATAACACCATATGCAACCTGTACAACCTGTCATCTAACCATGTTTCCAGGTGATTTTTTTGTCAATGAGTGCCACAAAAACATATTGTGATGCATTATCACATAATATCCCTGAAACAGAACCATTTCAAATTACATCAAGTGATCCTTGGGTAATTGCTGACAAAAAAGTGAGCAAGGATCAATGATCTCATTAAATCTCTAAACAAAAAATATTATTTGAATTGGATTTACATTCTACAATCCTAATGGACCTGGACAAATTGGAGCTGAACAATACATACAATGAAATTGGATTCAAAACTATGATTACCTGGATCATATCCCATATCAAATCTAAAGGAAAATTGTACAAATGTATGAATCTAATTTATCTATAACCAAGCAGCAAATAGGAATCCGGGTAAAAACAGTAGGTATTTATCGCCATTTGTAAAAACGTGGTAGTCAGACTGCCAAATTGTAGTTCAATATGCGTCTTGACGAGAGGAACATGATGCTGGTAAGAGAAGTGTCATGCCTTTCTTAAGCATCACTACTGAAAAACATTTTTCGTAAAAATGGTTATTTCAATTTATAGTTGTTGCCCCCTGGAGGCTAAACAGTTGATAATCTAGCTAGGTCATCACCCGACCAAGCGCTGTTCGGCAGCCGGCTATTTTGTGTGCAGGGTATGACGTATTTCGCGAGCCGACGTCACAGGCGGTGACGTCGGCTCGCGCGCGAGCCGAGCGCCAACGACAAACTAACGGGAACCCTCGGACACCCTCGGGGCATAAACCGCGGAGTAGCGTATTGAGCGAGTCTTATAAGAAAAATCATATATTTTCGTTTCTCAAATGATAATCAGGGTGTCTCTTACCTTTTTACATATCATTTAGGCTTACCTAACACTTCAGTTGCCAAATATCTGCAATTTATTCAAGCGAAGGTATTTTCAGTAAATATCAATGGTATAGACCGAAATCTTTTGAATAAAAACTCCAACCAACAGAAATAAAAATAACTTAATTTATTCCAACCATTTCCTCCAAATAAACAACATAAAAACTCACTTTTACACACACCATTCATAATAAGGCATACTACCACGCCGCTTTTGACAATTGCGGCGTCGAGTGGCGCGCTGCTAGCGCTCTTTTTCGATCGCAGAGACCCTGCACGCGCGCGAGCACACTACGTCACGTCTGGGGGGCACAGGTATATGAAAAATCGCAGTGACGTAACACTTTTCTCGCTTCTCATTGGTCAATAGCCCGTTGCCGGGGTAACGTGCACGTATGTGAGCGCGGGCAAGAGTACTAGCCGGCCGCCGATCAGGGCTTGGAAAAAATGCCTCCACTACGCTGAAGTTCTCGGCGGAGGTGATGCGCCGAAATTTCGGCGCAAGGGTACTTTATGCGCCGAAATTATTTTACTAAGCCATGCTTCATGCGCCGAAAATTTTCAAGGCTTACTGATGGCTGCAGGCTGTAGCCACGCACTTTTCGTCGAGGGGGGGGGGGGCTGGCGTGTGTGTGTGACTGTCTTCCAGTGACTACTGTCTACAGACGGTTGTTGGCACGGTCGACGGGATCGGGCAGACAAAAGATATCAGCAGGCCATGCGGGACCGAGCACCAGGGTTCGCTATCACAAAATCTCCTGACAGTCAGGAGATTTTGTCAGGACCTGACTCACAAACTCACTGGCATGTTCCATAACGTAACCTTTATTTTGTTGCCCGGCTCCGATCAGCAGTAGTGCCCAGCCGGTGACTGACGCCTGACGGGGCCTTCAACAGACGTGGTGCAAGCACGGCCGATGGGATCGGGCAGATACCAGGCCATGCGGGACCGATTGCCAGCGTCCGCTCACAAACCACACGCCGGAAATACAGGAATCACAACGGTCAATACGCACACGATAGCATACGTTATCTGAACTAGGGGATCCGACAATCCATAACCTCACTCTGGATCGGTGAACTGTTCCCGCCGTGGGAGAGTCGCAATCAGGTTCACTGAACATGACTTAAATACCCTGAGACGAACACGAGACAAGATAAGTGATATTTAAGATGTTTAACTCCCGAAGACATTTAACCCTCGCCGGCCGAGGGGGGGGGTTGGTGCCACCCCCCGGACGTTTTTTTCGCGATTTACGCCGAAGTACGCCGAAAATTTCGGCGCAAGCCGTCGATTTACGCCGAAGTACGCCGAAAATTTTCGGCGCAAACGCCCAACTACGCTAGAGTTCTCGACGAAAGCGTGCATTTTTTCCAGTCGGGGGTCATCAGAGGAAATGTTATCAAAAGAAAGTTAAAAGAGCTAACCAATGGATTTTTTGCGGCTCTTAAGCTCTGTCGCTTCACGAGTTATGCCCCGGCTTGTCGAAAATTGTTGAGATAGTCACGATAGTCACACAAAGCCTTGCAAGTTGCACAAAACTTTTCCCAAAACTTTACCCGCTGTTGTTGTTGTTGAAGAGTTAGGGCGAACTTTACCCGCTTTACCCAAGCTTTACCCAATGGACGCAACGGACACAACGATGATTGCTCTGTACCATGTATTTTTGTAAAAAGTTTAAAAATGACGTCATAAGCTTTTCCTTTACAGCCAATCGCAGCTGTTCCATTGTACTAGCAACGCGAAACAACTGTTGTAATTTTGTACCAGATTCAACTTGAGCTAACTGTATCCCAACTCAGCTAACCTTACCTACTTACCAACTAGTCTAATGGAATTAAATCGAACCTAACCTAACTTTACTTTCACTAAGTCCATTACCAACTTAAAGTTTTGTGACGTCATTTTTAGGCAAGCTGACTATTTCAACAAAACAATAGGCCAATAGACACTTGATGCAGCAGTGGTGACAAAAACGGCGCAGCAGGTTGAAGGATTTTTGGAGGATTTCGATTGTTTAGCTCACGTCAGTGCTGCCAGATTTGGAGGATTTCCGCAAATCTGGAGGGTTTTGAACTCTATTTGCGGACAAATTTCGCTTTTGGAGGATTTTTGATTCTGGAGGAAAATCTGGAGGATTTGTCGCCCGATTATTATATTCAATTTCATGGAAAAATATAACACATTCAAGACTAAAAAGGCATTTTCCAGCCCAGTGTCACCCTACCCGTTAGGATATATCACGTCCTTTATCACCGTGAGACTGCAGAATGTCTCAGTCTCCTAGCCAATATTTACGAGGGTACCAAACTACTGGCGGATTTAAGGGGGACATTTGGGGCAAATGCCCCGGCCCCCCTGCAGCGCCCGAAATCGACGAAAATTTTCGTTTTTTTAAGATAAAACGAAAACTCAACAACTTTTATAAGAAAAAGTATCTTTTAAACTGCACAGCAGTGCGAAAGCCGAAAGGATTCGAAATCCGATGAGTTTTTAGAATTTGGTGAAACTTTTTTGGGGTAGGTATAGCCCCCCGCAGCGTCCAAGACCGCATTTCTATATCTACCAATAGGATTTGGAGGAATCTGGAGGATTTTTGTAACTGATATGGAGGATTACAGCCTTCCCCATCTGGCAGCACTGGCTCACGTTTAGCCGTTATTGTTCCATCTTGCAATGCTCGCAGTGGAGTGCTCTTTCCAATGATATCTGTAATTCATGGGGTAAATTTCAAGATAAAGTCCTAAGAAGATTTCAAGGAAAATTTTCACAATATGACATTATTTGACATCCTGAATCCAAAAATGATACTTACATATCTCGCAAATAATAGGAAATAACATGATCAAACCTGGCCTACCCTTACCTACTTACCTACAACCTACCAACCTACAACCTTCAAACCTACAACCTACAAACCTAACAACCTAAAACCTATAACCTAACCTAACCTACAACCTAAAATTTCCACTGTTTCATACTTGTATCAACTGCGCCATGCATGCGCTGTTGTGTGCGGCCGTGCGCGGCTATGTACGCGCGTTAAACTTTGGACTCTAAATTCTGCCATAGAATTGGAATTTCATGATCAGAGGGTAAAGGGCAGGGTCACCGCAACAAGCTTCGCTTAGCGGTGGCTCTGTCCTTGTGAATCCTTCCTATCAAAAGGTTCAGACTAAATTTATTCAAAAAGCGCCACAATTGTAGATCGGACCTTATCCTGACAAATACCATTCATGGATGGCCGGCCGGGAGAGATGATCCCGGGGCATGCTGCTGTGGCCTGTGAACGTCCCTGAATAACCAAAAAAATAACGATACAAGTTAAAGCGTATAGCTTACATAATGTAAAACTTAAAAGTAACACTCTAATAGAATTAAAAAAAATAAAGTGCCACAATTTTGGTAGCGTTCTTAAAATACACGCCTTCTATTATCTCCCCAGAACTTCCACCACAATGTCACATGGCATTTGTTGTAAGAAGGCAAGAGGTTTGATGGCTGATGCATCTCTCTTGTGCTTCAGCTTTGTCTCAGTCTGAGTTAGTATATTAAAGATGAAAGTGCAGTTGGTAAGTTAGTAGGTTGTAGGTTGGAATGGTACCTAGGTTGAAGGTTGTACTTTGTAGGTTCTAGGTCTGTAGGTCAAGGTTGTAGGTTGGTAGTTTCAATGTTGTAGGTCAGTAGTAGGTAAAATTAGGTCAGGCTAGATTGCTTTTTATCTTCACCATACTTGATCTTCACATTTACCAGTCACTTGACATGATCTGTAACAGGTCAATTGGTCACTTGACTTGGTGAGCTGACCTTGAACAATGCAGGTCTGAATGTTTCACATGTGCCAAAAAGATGTAGACATTGTAAGGTGTTCAAGGAGCAACTTTGTTTTTTAGACATACGTGAAAAACCTGAAGAGGGCTCAAATACTTTAACACCCTCACCCCAGCATGGTGCACATTAAAAATAGTGAACCTATAAGCTTACCACTTCCAGAATAGCTCAAGCTTGATGTGCTCTCATTCAGTATATAGGTACTAGGTAGTTTTGAGGACAAAATTAGACTCAAACACCGTTTTCACTGAGGGCCCTAAATTTTTTATTTGATTTTGATCCTGTCATGACCTTGGCTTGACTAATGACATGTTATATGACCTCACTAAAATGTCATCTTTCTTTTAGATTTGTTTCTGGGATACCTTTCCAATACCAGCTACCTTGTGTACCACACACTATAATGCTTGGATTCAATGAACATTCTAGAACAACCTTAATCACCTGGAGACTGGAGTAGGTACCCTGGTTGATTACGAGCGAGCGAGCGCAGCGAGCGAAGTGAGTCTTTTCAATATAACGGAAAAATCTCAGTATGAGCGGCCCGGCCCGGCCCGGCCCGGCCCGGCCCGGCCCGGCCCGGCCCGGCCCGGCCCGGCCCGGCCTGTAACGCTTTTGAGAGGCTTATATCTCAGCAACCGCTGGACCGATTGGCCTGCGGTCTTTTTTGTTGGGTAGCCCCATCCCTTCTACCCCGTAATTGACTACTTTTGATACATCTCAGTGACCGCCGTGGCACGTGCCACGTGAAAAGTCAAGGGTGTTCGAGCAGTTTTGCAAAAGTAATGATTTTGAGAGGCCCATATCTCAGCAGCGGCTTGAGCGATTGTCTTGCGGTCATTTTTATAGGGTAGCTGCATCCCTTCTACCAAAGGTCGGATACTCTTCATCTATGTGAGTGACCCCCACTGCACGTGCAAAATACAACAATAAGAGGTGCCAAATTTGTTCCCATTTCAGTAGCTCGGTAATTACTGGGGCGATTTCGCTGAAACTTGGCATACAGGTAGGCACCCACCAGGCAATGCATTCCCATGTGTTGCGGTTAGGGTGCTACTGCACGTGCGCACGTGCAGGGGGCGTTTCCAGATCTCGAGAACGGCTGGGCCGATTGCGCTCAAATTTGGTACACGGTTGGGGACCAGTTAGTAGAGTGCCGTGCAAAAGTCATTTTGGACCCCGTTTGCACGTGCGCACGTGCAGAATGCCGCTTCCAGATCTCAGGAACGGCTGGGCCGATTGCGTTCAAATTTGGCACACCGCTAGCGACCGGTTAGAAGGATGCTTTGCACAAGCCCGTTGGAAGCACCCTCTCGCCCTTCCGCACGTGCAGGGCTCACTATCTCGCTCGCTCGTTCTTCGCCCAAAAGGCGTTTTACTGGTTGTTATATAACTGAGTCTTGAGGTCAAGGCTAGCAGCCAGCAGCAGGGCCCATGAGGAACATGTTTGGGCTTTATTTTTCTGTATATCTGAATTTGCAGTTTATTATGATTGTATTAATGCTTTTTCAGACATACAAGTTGATTGTCACAGTCATGGTGGATATTACAAATGAAAACTTCGAACAGCTTTGGCCATCTATAAAAGAAAATATAGACAAAGCAGTTTTGATTGGCATTGATTCAGAGTTTTCTGGTATCAGATCATCATCAAAACTCAAGAACAGGTATGTTGTGGATTCTCAGATATTTCAACTCTTCGTCATCATTCTAAGTCTCAGTCCTTGATCTTACAATTGTGGACTGTCATGTACTTGTAGAAGTAGTTATTTTGCTAAAATAGACAGAGGATAATGACCTTAGTTGGTACCTGTTTGATTGCTTGATTTCATCATCATCACAGTCCTGGGCCATCAACTCGTATGGCAGCTGACTGCCAGTTCTTCTGCTCTGACCAGCCGACCCCTCTCCCTGTTTCACAGCCTGTTTGACTCCATGCCGGAGCGGTACGCCATCCAGCGGCAGAATATCTCCCCGTTCACCATCACCCAGTTCGGCCTGACGGCGTTCGTCCGCTCCACGGAGCGCGCCAATACCTACGTGGCGCACCCGTACAACTTTTACCTGTGTCCGCCGTCGTTCGGACGCCTGGACGCGCGCTTCAGCTGCCAGGCCTCCAGTCTACAGTTCCTACGCCGGTACCGGTTCGATTTCAACAAGGTGGGTCCGAGATGGGTAGCAGTAGTGCTAAATGGTAAACAGCTTAAAAGTATCACGATGAAGCTTGTTTGGTAACCTGTGACATCTTTCGGACGTTGGTACATACCAGCTGCGGTGTAACCGTTTAATCCTGCATTACGGTGTTATTAGGTACCTCTTAGTCATTAGTCACCAACCACCACTTAGGTACTCTCCAAAGCCGGAAATGTCACGTCATTGCAGCTGGGTCCCTATTTCAGTTCATATATGGAGGTGTGCCGTTCCTTCGTGAAGAGGATGAGGCTATTCTGCGGGAGGAACTTCGCCTTCAGATGAACAGCGGAAAGGACAGGGCCAATGTTGATGAACATTTCATCCAGGTGAACTACAATTATGCAAATATGAATCAATAGTTGCTCAGTGGTATGCTTCCTATGTTAAAGGGACCCTCCCACCTTCAAAAAAGTTTATGAATTGGCATGAAAGTGATGTCGCTCGGTTCAGAAAGAGTGAAAACGAATAGCTACCAAATTTCACCGAAAAATATTCACCGGTTTTCAAGATATTATACTTTTACTTTTGTTTACTTTTTTGGGATCTCCGCTGTTTCTAGCGACTTTATTTTAGAAGTGCGGCGTTTGCGGCAGATGCTGCGCGCAAATAGCATATACCACCGCGTGCTACAAAACGTTTTAGTCAAACATTTAAAAATCGTTAGATATCTGCGCTGACGTCACACATTCAGAGGGGTATTCCTAAGCATTAGCCCCTCTGAATCAAAATGCTGCAATTTTGAAATTCAATATTTCCGATTTAAGGCATTTCTCGATGTTGTGAGTGCCGAAACCGGTAATTGTGAGCCAGGGACCCCATTTTGGCTATCTCAACTCAAATCTAATGTTAAGGTGGGAGGGTCCCTTTAACAAAAAGTTTTTGGTCCTGATTTATCATACTTAAGATTTTAGAACTCGTGATTCTTCTGAAACCGATAATCATAATCCTGACCTAATCTAGCTCTCACATACTAGTTTTCCTTTTTGCCATCGTTTTTGAAAATTCCCACCTAAATATCATCTGACGTCATCTCCACTGTACTGACCTGTCATGCAGATACGGATACATCTGTATACAGTTACAGGTACGATATAACCCGTACTCTGCTCTCGGCAGGACGCGTGCTCCTCGGTGTCCCGGTGGCTCTCCGGGACCGGAGCCGGAGATCCGGGCGGCTCCGGGTCCGGGACCGTGTCCGGGTCCGGACCCGGGTCCTCCTGGTCGGTAGACGCGCCGGACACCAACCTCTGCTACCTCCTGCAGAAGGAGCTGCGACAGCGTTTCAGGGAAATCTGGACATCGGCGCAGGGAAACAACGTACGTATGATAAATGTCGGTTGTAATTTCCTGAGTCGTTCCTAATCAGGATTGCAAATTTTCAGTGTTTTCATTTCATGAGTTTGTCTCATAAGATGCTACTTATCGAAATTTATTCTGTCACACTTAAGAAGACCTCTTGCGCTTGCATATATAGTCTGCTATGTCTTTATGTCCGACTCAGACTGTAGGTAGGGCATATAGGGAGCGCGTGTGCTATAAAACCCCATCTACATTCTGTTATCGTTATCGAGGCAGGCCAGGTGGCGTTTGAATCGCTCACCACTGCCGTACTGCGGCCGCGAATCGCGATAAACTTTTTCGTCCGGCTACCACTTTTACTTCCATGGTATTCGCTGACATTTAATCCCATAAACAATGTTCTCAGCTGACACTCCTCTAGGTATGTCGAACATCATGTCCGTTTGTTCTAACTGGCAGATCTTACCCCCCCCCCCCCCCGCCCCCCCCCCCGAACACAGGCCACTCAGCCGACGCCGATCTTCATTTGTTTGTTTGTTTTGTGTGGTTAGGCCCCTTCGATCTGACGAGACCATTTCAGGGCCGGAAGGTTGATAAGGAATAGGGGGCGACATTGGCCTGGGTGGGCACCCTAGTGTGTCACTGGGGCTGAGACCGTCCACAAGGACAGGCCGACCAGCCCCCAAGCACTCACTGCACCCGGCTACGGATGTGCTCTCGTAGGAGCTGCGGTGCTATCCAATGGGAGCAGCCCACATGGGATTAAGTTTTCCCGTCCAGCCCGGAGCAGGGGAAAGAGGCGTGGAGCAGTAGGATTTGAATGCCATGAGGATGGAAACGACGGAATTACGGTGTGCCGGTCTTCAGATAGCGGTGTCCTTTTAATAAAACCCAGTCCCCGAAGGTCGACTGATACAGTGATCCGAATCATTATATCAGTGACCTGAATTTCCCGCTGATTTCCAGGTGTTGGTGACCTGTGACCCCATCCCCTGCCCGATCTCCAGGTGCTGGTGACCCCTGTGACCCCATCCTCCGCTGATCTCCAGGTACTGGTGACCCGTGTGACCCCAGCGACGCGCCGTGACCTGGAGGCCACCGATGACCTCGACGAGCAGTTCGTCTCCACAATGGTGGGCTTCTCGCGGGTCATTCGCCACCTGCGGGCCCGTCGGAAGCCGCTGGTGGGACACAACTGTATGCTGGACCTGATGCTGATTCACCACCTGTTCATCGCGCCTCTGCCCGGTCAGTCTATGGTGGGGAGAGGGATGGGGTAGGATTTGTGCGAGCGGGGAGAGGGGAGGAGAAGGGAGGGCTGGACACACATAAATCGGGGCGTGATACAGGCCACTGACAGGAGCTTGCGTCTGGAAACGAGAGATTATGCAGACTGCTTTTTGTACTTTTTTTTAGAAACGACTGTGCGTCATTGCATCGATAATTTGGCATTAACTGATGGAATTTCGATGACACTTTGCTGCATGCCTTTTCTTGTGCTTATATGCTGGCAGCTACCAAGAAAACGTTATTTTCTTCGACAGTTCCGTTTTTGCATCACGCATTTTTGTCAGAAATCATTTTATGACAGGTGGAGCCTACAACTGGCGATACAACTACATGATAACTGATGGTTATCATTTTCACGAAGAAGCTTCGGTGTTGATGTGTGAGACTTCTTGCACATAACTGCTTCACCTTCGTGTTTTGATTGTCATCAGAAATATTGTGTATTTTTTCGTTTCAGCTGATTATCATCAGTTCAAGGAGACGATTCACTCGTGGTTTCCAGAGGTTTACGACACGAAACACATCGCACATACCGTAAAGGATTTATGTCCCCAGCAAGGTAAGAATGCACTGCCAGTCGTCTAAGCTTATCCCGGGCATCAGGGCGCAAAATGCTCTTAAAATCGGAGCGCCCCTATGACCCCCCGCCCCCCCCCCCCCCCCAACAAACAAGCAATATCCCGGGCATCATCAAAAAAGATCTCATCACGCCTCTTCCCCCCACCCACACACACACCCTCCGCCCTCCTTTCACCCCCACACCCCACCCTAACCGTGAACCTCTGACCCCCCCCCCCATCCCACCGCCGCCCGGTCCCCAGTCCAGTATTGATGAGCCCCACTCGACGAACGCTCCCGGTGCCAACTGTTGCAACCCTGCGGCGCTATCCAAGCCGGCCGGACCGCTAGGAGCTGCATCCTGCACTGACAAAGCCAATCTGTCAGTGTGTCAGCTCGTTCGTTACCCGAATAGTCGGCAGTGTTGGTGGGTCGGTGGCGAATGTGTCGGAATGGTGGGCGCGCGCCCTGTTGATTGTGGTGTTTGGTGTAGGCGAGACATAGAAAAACGAGGTGGGGTAAGGACGTTGAATGATTGGCGGTCGCTGTGTGTTAGAAATTGTTTCAAGGTTGAATAGAAACCCACATGCAGGTTGATTGATGATTTTGTGTTACGGGGTAAACCAGCAACGAGGCTACCTCGCCCCACATGCAGGTTGTCAGCAAGTCGTATGTTTGGCTGAAGTGTTGGATACGTCATTGGCTCTTTGGATCTATGTCTTTACTGTGGGCCGTGGCCTCTCATAACATCCAAACAACCTCTTTATGACCACCTGTGGCGAGTATGCCCCTGTGTCCCCTCAGGAAGTGCTCAAGTGACCTACCCCTCATTCGCTCGCGACGTACTCAGGACGTGCTGATTGGTGCTCACGACGTAATTTCCCCTCCCCGTGTCCCCTCAGTCAAGGTAACCTACCCTTCTCTCTGTTCCCTCAGTCGGTGAGCAGGTGAACGGCGCCAGTCTGAACAAACTGCACCAGGGTCTGACCTCACACACGGGTAGCACGGTGGTACTACACGCGCCGGCCGTCGTGCTGACCGACCAGGCAGCCAGATACAGTGAGTATTGATCTTAGGGAACATTGTTCCCTAAGTTTCCTTGCAGAGTTTATGCTTAAATCGAAATGTTCAGCGGCTTTTTGTTGTTTATTGTTGCATATTTACTTTTCGATGAGCAGAATGATTCGTATTTCATGTTCGCACCTCTGTTCGCAGTTTGCTATTTTTGTTTTCCAAGTGCCTAGTTTTGAATGCTCGTGATATTCTTATATCCGTGTAGAGAACTCGAGAGTCATATTTTCAGTTGTTCTCTCATTCTGAGCTCCGTCGTCCACAATTACACCATCACCACCGTCCACCAGCTTCATTACCCACATTCGCTAATCGCTTCAGTCCTAACCACCCAAATTCAGGCCCCGTGTACCAACAAGGGGGACGCTTAAGTCTCTAGAATCTCCATGACCTCCCTAATTCACGTTGTGTGCGCCGACAGACGAGGAGTCTGCCCACGAGGCGGGCTATGACGCCTACATGGCTGGCTTCTGCTGTCTGCGATTGGCCCACCTCCTGGCGCATAAGGACGTCACAACGTACGTATAGGAGTGTGTGTTATGTGCTCCGTGGAAAGATAGGCACGGGTGGGGTACTTCTTGGTAGAGCATATTAATGTTTCTGCTTTGGAGTATTCTGATGTGTTGATATTGCAATAGATTGGTAAGGCTCCGTAGAATCGTACAAATATTACGCCTTTATAGTAGACTTGGATAGAGTATCTAATTTAGAAGTTCTATGATATCTAGGTGTTTTCGTACACACTATTATCAAGATCGTCAAAATAGAAGTTGATGTCTCTGCCACTCTGTCGGGTTACGCAATAATGCTTATACAAGCTGATGCTCTGCGGCGCTGGTAGTATTTCCAACCTATTTAGCATTTATTTGGGTCACGGCCATGCACCATTAATCTGCACATTATCCGGAGACAAATGTTGCGTGGGGACTAGCGAAGACAAATGTTTCCGCAGTGTCGACCTTCACCGTCCAATGAGCTCCCGGGAGCTGATGTCGGCGCTGGTGCCCGTCAGAAACTCCGTGAACGTCATACGCGGCACCGTCAACCACTTGGTGAGACGTTGGGGAGAGTGGGAAGGTCTTTAGGGGCAGGTTTGAGCGTTGGTATTTGGGACGTGGGTTGCATCGTGGAACGCTAGATTTACAAATCGGATGCCTAAGCACTTTTTTGTCAGCGCTGTGGGTGATATTGAATTGGTCCCGATATTGTGTCAATGTTAATCGTATGCTCATACGATCCGGTTTTATAGCTTGGGGCATTTGATCCTGTAACTTTTTATTATGTTGTAAGCACGGCTTTGTGGTCATATTTGTATTGATTTATGGTTGAATCATAACTTCCGTTTTCATAGATGGCTTGTTTCTTCGTTCATCGGCAGTTACGTATGTGTCTCCCTACCTCATCTGCTATCAGCGCCGGTTACGGGCCGGACCCGGTTTGACGTGACGCGCATCCTTCCATCAGTCAGTCATGCCACGAACCCCGAACTCGAATCCATGAGTCTGCGTGACCTGTGCTCACCTTTTTTCTGTCTGTCCTCAGTCGCTGGATGGTCCCGATCCGGTCTCGGAGCGACCTCGCTGGTTTCATCTGGCGACCAAAGGCGAGCGGCCGCTTGACGTGACCGAGGTAAGTGCTCTCTTACCGAAAGCTAAATAGTGCCCGACAGACGAATACTCAGGCTTCTGCGTCGGACATTCTGCCTTGCTTTATGTTTTATCATTACCAGCCCAACGTCGTAGTTATTTTTTACATAGCGAGGATATCCTGCTTGACTGGGATTTTCAGCTTATGTAAGTACACCACAAACCTACGCTTATTACGCTAATTGCTTTCAGGATCCAGCTTTGTACCGTAATTGCCCCAGGATCTCATTGGTTGAGCTTACCGCTCTAATTCATTTTTCTCCGCTTTTCCCGTATTCCCTGTGGTTCTCTCAGTGTCTGCCACAGCGTTTATTTCTGACTGTTCTACTCCCGATACTATTTCATTGTTTCCCGGACATGTGATGGATGCGTTGGTTGCCTTCATTCCTCTCTGCCGTCCGTGGCTGGACCATTCATTGTCCGGTGCCGTCTCCTGACCGGGGCGGTTAAACCATTACCGCCGTGGCGGGCCCTGTTCTCTGGCGGAGGTATTCTGTCCCCAATAGTGGCGATACAGAGCGGCACTGCGTGCCTCTGGCGTGGTGACACGGGTCGCGGTGGGTGACATGCCGCGCCGCACGGGGCGCGGTGGGTGACATGCCGCGCCGCACCGGGCCGTGGTGGGTGACATGCCGCGCCGCACGGCTCAGGCCGCCGTGGGTGACATGCCGCGCCGCACGGGGCACGTTAGGTGACATGCCGCGCCGCACGGGCCGCGGTGGGTGACATGCCGCGCTGTTCTGTGCGCCGGCCCTCGGCCCGCGCTCCAGCGATAATTTGTTGGTGACCTGCCAGGCGCTGGGACGCTGAGTTCAGTACGGCATGTGGGCGGTGAGTGGAGATTCGTGTCTCCCCGTGTCTATCAGTTATCGCGTTGTTGATTTATGTCTTATTTTCGTCAGAGTTTTACTGATAAGTTTGCTATATTTTGAAATAATTAGTTCTCGTATTGCCTCGTATTGTCTCGTATGAATGCTTACAATACCTATCTGTAACGTATTTTACTCCATGAGAAACCTCACATTGGGTATTAACTACATTTGACATCTGTTTTCCCCTTTCATATATTTGCATATGTTCCTATTATTTTCCTTGTACTCATTCTTTCTCCCTTATTATTTCCTCCTTTTTATTTACTGTATTCCTTCTCTTTCTTCTTCTTACTTCCTTTCTCTTTTTCTTATTCTGAATTTTATTTGTATCGTTTCCTCGGCCTTTCTTTCTCCACTCTCCTTGCCATTTTGTTCAGTTTTCCGTTCTTCGTCTTACTGTCTTTTTTTCTTTTATATTTTTCTGTTGTTCTCTCGCTCTCTCCCGGGCCATCCTCCGTGCCAGCCTCACGGGGATCGTTGTAAACTGACTCTGTCTGTCAGTGGCGGCAGGAGGATTGGCATTAAACACGGAACACTCGTCCGCTCCTCAACTCCCCGAAATGGGGCCCGTCACGCAGAATGAACAGTGTTCGGAGGAAAACTGGGGAGAGTATGAAGGCCACGCCACAGTGTCATGCCGAATTCCACTTATGTAGCGGGATCACTGAGAGAAATACTAAGTGAAGGCGTTACTTGACCTAACGTTATGATGTCCCTAAACACAAATGATAATCATTTCAGCTCAGGCTGACCGTGACGAGGGTTGTTTGCTTGCTGGCTGTCGCCGTTATGAACGATAAGTCGGATCGATGAAGCGCCATCAAGGCCAGCACGGGCCGTCCGCGCTCAATGGCGTCGCTGTCGCGATCATGTATTCATCGCGACTGTCAGCGGCGTCATGTCATACATTTCGAATCAGCGATTCCAATTCCCGTGCCACCGACGAGACCTCCATTCCCGTTTCGCCGACGAATCATGTAGTTTCCCTACCTGGGGCGTTGAAGGCTGTGATGGAAGCGCTCTACGAATGTAGAGATCCTGCACAGTTGTGTAGCATAGTCACTTAGGGTAGAATATGGTGATTGACCATATTGGTGATGGTGGCGGTGACGGTTTTGGTGACAAAGACTGATGCTCAGACGGACGGTGACGATGACACTGGAAGCGTCGGTCGCCGTAACGATGGTGACAGCGATGGAACTCGCTGGTGCTGGTGGTGCCGGTGGCGTTATGTCGGCTATGCGAGCGATCCCCGACCAGGCGTCTGCGCCGTCAGTGTCAGACCTCCGTTCTGACGTATGACCTAGCTCTGAAGAGCGGAACAGATGGTCTGCCAGTCATGGCTGTTGAGGGTGGCGCTTCGCTCACAGATAGGCGCGTTAGGTACATCAGACCGCGACTTCTCATGATGGGGCGTGGTAATCTCCTCTGTAGCGTGATTAGGAGTTTTAACTGCTGCAGGCGTGAGCTGTTATATATGCTGGCAGCTGCTAGTTGCTCTCATTAGTAAAAAAAAAAAAACAACCATTCGGCTGTATTCTGAGATTCTATTAACCTTCGCCCCAGTGGGGGGGGGGGGGCATCTGTTACCACCCTGTCGCGTTTTTTGCGTGTGCATAAAAAACCGCGGCGCGTAGCGCCGCGCCGCTTGGGGTAGCTTTTGGTACATCAATTTTGGACAATGTGTGAAATTTTTGACCCCAGGTCATGTCAGGTCAGGTCACCAGGTCAAGTTAACTGACCAAGCCTAAAAAAAAGTTTGCAATCATGTCCAGCCTGCAGTGTTTGTCAGAAAGGTTTCAAACCTGGTGGATTGCATGCTGTTATAGGCGCCTACAATTTGTATATCTCGGATTTTTTATATCCGTGACCTAAGGTCAGCTCAGTGGCGTGACCTTTCCATTACAAGTCAATGGAGAAAAATGAAAATGCCTCTAGATCCGTGTGTACGCATCGGAACAGTCCAAATATTTCAGAATCACAATGATTTAGTCCACTCGTGATGACCAAGGTGTCATTTTTGCTGATAGCCTCTAGACAGGTCATCCGAGGTCACTTGAGGCTACAAACAGTTTTTTGCCAATAACTCGCGATTGGAAAGAGATAGAACGCTGGGGATGGTCTCATTGTGTTTGTCTTGTTGAGACGCATCGACTGATATGCAACATGACCTTTTCCGGTCAGGTCATGACCTTGACCTGAGGTCAAATTTTCAAGTTGACCTTTCAAGGTCAAATTATAGTTCATTCGACGCGTCTCGGCGAGGGGAACACGATTCTGGCAATAGAAATGTCGTGGCTTTTTGTAGTCGAAAGTTATTGTCGAAAAACACTTTTCGTAAAAACAGCTATTTTTGGAGTTTTTGCCCTCTGGAAGCTTAACAGTTGACCTGAGGTCAATATTGATAATGACCTTTTCAAAAGAAGAGTTTAAAAGCTATCGTTTGCTGTTCCGTGCGTTTTTCTAGCTACCATAGTTCCTGAGATAGCGGCATGTTTTCTGAAAAATATAATGACAATTGGCAAATTTTGACCTTTGATGACCTCTGGTGACCCCAATATTGCTCTAAGGTGAAAAATGGCTGAAATACTTTCAAACGTACGCATTGAGAGCTATCGACTGCTTTTTACTGCGTCTTTCTAGCCCTCTTAGTTTTTGAGTTAGAGGTGGGTGGTAACATATGCCCCCCCTCACTAGGGCGAAGTTGGCTGAGACCGCCACTGGGGCGCGGGTTAACAACATCTAACACTTCTGCCGTTCTCTATGGGAGATCACCGTTGACTCAGCCCCTTCCTGCAGCCTGCAGCCATCCCTGACCCGCCCATGGACGGACCCAGCTGGCCAGCGCGAGGGCCCCTTCCCGTCTCCGGCCGGGCGCGGATCAAAGCGCCGCGCCCCGGTCGTTAGCAGCGGTCCGGCCCAAACGGCGCTGAGCACACACTCTGTGATGTCGCGCTCGGAGACGGCGACTGTTTGTTGCCACAGCGCGACGACGGCTGCCGCCCCCGCCCCGCCGCCGCCCCCGCCCCCGCTACCGTCGTAGCCCCCTTCGAAACCGTCGCTGGACCGGACGGAGGCAGGTTACGGCCCGTAGGGTGTACGAAAGGTGTGTCGATCGGTGAACGTGTCAAACGATGGGTGATTCATCGGAACGGTGGTGATATCGCTGATAAAAGCTTGTATTTGAGCTCTGTGAGGATTTTTTCTACTGGCGCTGTGCGTTGTGCTACCTCAGAAATGGCAGTTGTCCTCCTGCGTTTGACTGAAGGATTTCTAATTTTCCAATTCATATGGACACGGACACAGAGTTCTCATCCGGGCCGGCCGCGTCCGACCCAGCACCCGTCCTCTCCGCCGGCGGCAGCCTCAGTGCTCAGTGCTCCGGGCGCGATCTGTGCTGGACGCAGAGTGGGGCCGGCGCGGCCAGGGCCGATCCGTTATTTTTGGGTCAGCTCGCCGGCGGCTGGCAGCTCGGCCCGGGGCGAGCGCCAGCGCCGCCGGCGCCAGAGAATGTCCGGTGTCACCGAGACGTCGGTGCCGCCGCAGAGACGGCCGCGTCGATGGCCCGCGTGATAGTCGACAAATGATGCGCTCTGCGCGGCAGGGCTGGTGCACAGACGGTAGATGCGTGCAGAGTAAGACGGTGAAGAGATGAAAGAGATAGGCGACAGGGTGTGTTGCAGGTTCAAGGAACGAATCACATACCCTGTGACGGGCTTTGATAGCTGCAGGGCGATGTCGCTGCGCTTACTGTTATGTGAAGGACGCGGGGATGACAATAACTGTCTCAGTATGAATGCAGACTGAGCACAGTGGTCACGCTTTCCGGATAAGATAGGCCGTCGAAGTGCTGCGGCGCTTGGAAAGCTGCCCGGCGCAGTTTTTGTGACTCCCGGCCTGCCAGGTCGGGTTGTGCTAAAGCTCTGCTATCTGCTCACGGGGTCATTCGAGGTTACGATCTGTGTTGTCGCAGGCTGTTTGTTGGACTCCTTTGCTATCTAAATGTGAGTGAAGATTGTTTTTGTTTAGTTTTTCCATCCATCGGGAATTAGTCTTGCTGTTCCTGGTAAATGAAGAAGGTTTGTTTGTCCGTTTCTCTGGGAAAAGATGTATGATTGTGCTTCAACTGGCACCACTGAAACGTTTTCCCTGTTAACATATTCAACAAGATATTGTCTCTTGCCTAACCAATTTATGCATCATGATTATTAAAACCACTCAAACGCTGCTTTTAAAATGTTTAGTATCACATATCAAAATTTTCAGGCTGCTACAGGCTGTAGATCACATATCGTTTTATCAAGTCCTATCTAAAATGGGCCTCTTCCTATCTAATTTTCATGGATGAATAGAAAGCAATCGCAAATCATGTTCACATCCATGTGTGTTGCACTGCTGTAACAAAATCTGTTAGAACCAAGGCACTGCGTTTGTCACCAACCATGGCTCATAGCTAAGAGATTCAGTGTCATATGTCGTCCAGCTGCGATGATATAACGGCAACAGGTGACCGTCAGGCTCCTTGCGGCCGCCCTGGTTACATATATGACGTCAAAGCTGCCAGACGCTGCCAAAAGGGCTGCCAGATGTAGTCTGCGCCACTGCTGAGGTGGGCACAAAAAAAAAAACTGTGACAGATCTGCGAGTGGTGTCAGCATAATCTCCCCAGTAACAAACATGACACTGTTTCTTTTAGTTTTATTGTAACTACGAAAGCGGCCTGTTTCGATGAGTCAGAGCTCGTCTATCACGATGGTGTATATTTGGTATTGCTAACTTGGGCCATTTCATCCAGTTCGATAGCTCAAACAGCCGCTATTCACTTGCCTTACTTTCGTCATTATGGCTCCAGGACACGCCTGTTTCTCTTCCTTTCTCAGTGCACACACTTTTACCTCTTTCAGTTTGTACGGAACCTGTGTGTAGTTACCCAATCCGTGTCGCCGGAAGCGGTACCGTCTCCATCTTTCCACGCCCCTTGCTCATTTGCTCTGACCCTGGCCCTCTGCTTCGCTGCATTTCTACCGATCTCTCCTATAGCTCCACCGACCTTCATTGCGGTTCATCTAGCTGCAATTCTACTGGCTTCTACCAGCCCTCTGTCCGTGGGGATGACCGGCCCACCTCACTGACTCCTCCCTCCCACCCTCCCCGTGTCGTCAGGTGGTCCAGCTTCTGTCCCAGTACGGCGCGGTGGACGTCCTCCCCACTGACCCCCCCCCCCCCCCTGTGTCGTGTCAGGTGGTCCAGCTATTGTCCCAGTACGGCGTGGTGACCGGACTGCCCCACTGACTCCCACCCTCCCCGTGTCGTCAGGTGGTCCAGCTACTGTCCCAGTACGGCGCGGTGGCCGGCCCTTCCCACTGACTCCCTCCTTCCCTCCCCTTGACTCCCCCCTTCCTCCCCGTGTCGTCAGGTGGTCCAGCTTCTTTCCCAGTACGGTGCGGTGGACGTCCGACCCTTCTCGTCACATCAGGCGCTGGTGGCTGTAGGGAACTTCAGGTGGTGAGTAGGAATCGGACAACTTCTTCCCGTCTCCATCGCTAGGGAGCTGGATAGTGTAGTGTAGAAAGAACACTTGATCAGGATCCGCACTTTTGACCTCAATCACCCGAGTCAAATGATAAAATCGTTTGATATTTAAAAAAAAAAGACAATCAACACAGATCACACTTTCACCCGAAACAACACATGGTTGAGCTGTGTCTCGAGCGCAATATAACGTAAAGCTTACATGCTGTGGTTTGCGCTCACCTGCAGCTAATCTGCGCTTAAAAATCATTAGGCCTGCTGCATCGAGGTTCTGTTTTGTTCCCTTCGATGTCCTTTTTTCTGGTCTTCTACTTTGCTGGATTCTGCGCATAGGGATTCCGCTTGTATGACGTTGTGTCTCCGCCATTTTATTGCGTTTCATCTTATATTCGTGTTGGAAGGAGGAACATAATGACATGTTGCCAACCCTTGTAAGCGCGATATAAATCTGAATGTCGGAGACTGCTTAGATTTGAGCCGTCTGGAAACCGAATTAGATAGGCGAGCTTTGTTGATTCGTTGCTATTTAGCATTTATTGATGTCATTTTGGGGTTATTGGGTACAAACTCTAATGCCAGTAGACAAATTAACGTCAGATTAGTGTGGTTTTCGGGAGACCTTCAGATTTATGCTGCAATTAATTGTTTAAGACATCTTGAAGTTTATCCCATTCAGATCATGTGGTAAACGTATTTGACTTCTATTTACTGTAATGCCTCTGAAACCAATTCATTAAATTTTTATTATTGTTTCTTTTTCGTTTTTCTTTTACCGTTTTGGCGTCGGCGCTTAAGCATATGTCCTAAGAATAGTTCAAAAGTATCGCTTTTCCCCCCGAATTTCACAAATAGTGGGATTGAAAGTATCGCGTTACTTGTTCACTACGTACGTTGAAGTTAATATGAGCTGCACTATTGAAGTGCGCAGGTGTCTGACAACCGTGGTTTCCTCCTGACTGAGTATAAGAACGCTCGATGCTGTCAGTGTATTGAAGTGCTCAAGCTCATACTAAGGCTAGAGCGCAGTCCAAATCGCTGTTCGACGAGACTTTGTGTTTATACAGTTTTTGTCCGCTCTGAAAATCTGCCTTCTGGGGCCATGTTGCTGTCAGGCGATCTCCTGGGGTCAATGCCTTGAAATGCCTGAACAAGCCCAGGCAGGAATTTTGTTTCATCAGACAACTGAACAAGATAATGATTAACAAGTGTGGCACATGTCTGTATTTGCTTTGGTCAAACCTCTCTCCGAAATGTCAACGCGCGCCAAAAACATCTCCAACGACACCATGGTCTGTGTCCGGGTCAGGTGACGCCTGCTGAACTCGTTTACCAGCTGTCAGCAGCTTGGCCAGCCGTTTAGATAAAACATGTATCTGCTGGAACTATCACACAGAAATTCAACTCCCAAAGAGCGTCTGCTTCCACATGGGCGCGTCAGAATGCAGGACGATTTCCTTGGAAAGCCAGCTGTTACCACTTTTCCGGCCAAGTCACGCGCCTGGCTAGCTGCGAGCACCGTTACTGCATTGCGGCGCGGCGGCTGAGGCCGTGGAGATGGCTGTGACGGGCTATGACATAGCCAGACTTTTAGTGACGTCATTGGGACACGACCTCAGGTGCGGCCACCGCTCAGAGACAGTGGTGGCACGCCTGTTTTCTTTGCGCCGCCGGCCCGCTGAGGAACGGTGCGGCGCTCGGCAGAAATAGGCAGGGCGCGGCGCGGCCGACGGCCGGTGCCAGTGGCGCGCTATTTTGGCGCGACCGTGACGTCGTGCGTGACGAGGCCGCGGCGCCGATGCGTCAACAACAGGGCTTTTGTCGTGCGCGAGATGCCGACGTTATGTCATGTCCTGTTTGGCCTGGCGACCACCAGAGGCGCTGTTGTACGGCGGTGTGCGGTCGTCAGGTGAAGAATCATGATTGAACACCAAGTGGCACGTCACAATCTGTGTTTTCGGAGGGTGATTTTCGGTTGGTAGTTTTTCGTTTACTAGGCTAGTGAGGTGTGAGTCAGCGGCGCAAAACTAGAGTCCAGCTAAATGCAGCGGAAAAAACGAGGGTTTGTGGAAGTGATGAAGGTTACGCTTATTGTTTTTGCCTCGACGTTTTGACGGAAAAGTTTGTACAGCCTGTGTGTTGTGCGTTTAGCACCCACAGCTGTGTTTGGCCAGGCTCGCTATTTTCATTGGAGTGGAGTGTTGTAGTCACTGACGAAGTAAGGTCAAAACGCACTCGTACCTTGCAGCCTTTATCTCAGAATCATGTTGAAATCAGCATTTCTTTCCGAGACAGTCCCTTTGATCACACCCTCGGCAACTCTAACAAGATCTCTCGCTCAGCGCAATTCAATTGAGAACTCGTAAAGGATGGAATCTCAACAAAATATCAAACAGATCCATGTTGCTGAGTGCCGACAGCCTTTGGGAACCACCCCCTCCCATCCCCCATGTATCAATCAGCTGATTGATCCCCCATGTATCAATCAGCCGCAGCTGAGCCGGCGGCGGTGGCGGGCCGTGGGGGCCTCTATGCGTTCAGTGGTGCCGCCCCAGTCAGCGGGGCGCCGGGCGGTGTGGCCGGTGGCGGTGCGCGCGGACAGGTGGGCTTGCTCGGCGTCCCACGGCGCTGCCGACACGGCCGAGCGTTCAGCTGCCGTGCCCGTCCGTGCCCGTCCGTCCCCGCCCGTCCCCGCTGCGGCTGTGGCTGCTATTTCGGCCAGCGGGTCCCGGGTGTTCAGGGATGAGGCAGAGTCGGGTCGGGACTCGGGAGAATGAATTGGAGAGGCGTTTGTCCGACGCACGCGGCAGTGCTGTAGGGATGCCGAGATTTATCGAGAGGACAGCCAACGGGCGCGTTGCCGAATGCCTCCTGTATTGCGTAACGTTTTTAGAGTTTTATTTAGGGTGATTTTTTTTTATTTGTTAAAAAGTGAACGTCAATGGTGGTCCCTAAATCGAACAATCTTGTGCAAAAAAGCAATGCACGTGATAGATAAATCTGGGACATTTTGTATGGTGTCATGATTTGTCCCTTTTAACCGAAGGGCTCGGCCCCAATGGGGCCTGAAAATGTCCCACCTATCGGGCACGCATGGTCCACCGCCGTTCAGTAAGGAACGACACAAAACGATGATTTTGAAGCATTGAGGCAGTTCGAAGCATACGATCATCGAGGAGATACCCCAGAAAGACGTTAAATAATGCACGAACAAGCTTGTAGTCATAAATAACCTTCAACCGGTCCATCTGGCGTATGTGCATTGTGCAGCCTCTGAAGAATCAGTCTTCAGGGAGAAACAAAAAACAGCGAATCAGACACCACCAGGGCCGCCAGTAGCAAAATCCTCGACCTGCCCTTTCTAGACTTCTAGTTTTTGGACCCAGGTATGGCAGATATAACAAGAAAACATTGGAAATATCTGGCAGAGCTGAAAATGGGTGATAGGAGCCTTTTCAGTCCGCCTAATGAGTATGGGAGTCCATGGTGCTGTTCAACACGTACTCAGGCGGGCTGATTCGTGTCGGTGAGAGAGGGGGTAACTTCAAGCACAAGTAAAATACACGATGGTCGATCCTTCACATCGTGTCTGCATGAACTCAAAATGTCCCAGAATGCTCGTCATGCTGGTATATAATTTTACAATATATATTTGCATTTTAACCCCACTAAACCTCATTACTTTTTAACAAGTAAAAAAAATCACCCTGTGTATTAAGTAACGCGAGACAAGGGTTATTTTCTTCCTCATATCGTCCGCAACACTGCTTAGCACCGGTACTGCGTTTTTGCTCCGTTTTTACCGTACTTTTGGCGGGTCTTAGCTTCTCTAAACACTTCAGGTACATCGCGCATTGTTTTTAAACGTTTTTGTTCCATGCGAATGAGAACAAGTTTTTTTCCTTCGGGTTGTAGTTTAGGTTTACTTTCCGAATTCTGGAAGTGACATGGGCTGTCAGCTCCTCGGTTTTCCCCTAGTCATCTTGTTCTGAGCGATGAATCGTCTCGGCCAAGAAAAATCTGTTGTTTTTACCGCTGTTGTTCGTCACCTGTCTGAGTTGTTTTTCCCTTTTGTGCAGTTTCTCTTCCTGTTCTTCGTAATTCCAACGCCTAACTCTTAGCAGGCTGCGCAATATTTACAGTATGCGTTATAATCGTTGTCGTCCAGTTCCATAGTCCAGTTTCTTTACCATCCCCTCTTCCAGCCAGCACTGTTGGCATCTTCGACCGTTCTTCCCCCTTCACTCGACGACCGCGTTTGTTCGGACCTCAAACCCTCCGGGGTGGGACTGTTTACGTCTTTTCTTTGACGATTAGAGGATGCCTTCGGCTGTGCCAAGAGCACCGGTCGCCGGCCAGGATAAACCCTGAGATGCTGAGTGCCGGAGAGTGGCACATGCAATAAACCGCCCCTCCGGAGGGGGGGGGGGGGGGCGGGGGCAGCAGCTGCTGGACGCTGCACCTGACATCGAGATGCGCTCAGGCTCTGTCTGTCTGTCGTCTGTCTGTCTGTCTGTCTGTCTGTCTGTCTGTCTGTCTGTCTGTCTGTCTGTCTGTCTGTCTGTCTGTCTGTCTGTCTGTCTGTCTGTCTGTCTGTCTGTCTGTCTGTCTGTCTGTCTGTCTGTCTGTCTGTCTGTCGGTCTGTCGGTCGCTCTCTCTCTCTCTCTCTCTCTCTCTCTCTCTCTCTCTCTCTCTCTCTCTCTCTCTCTCTCTCTCTCTCTCTCTCTCTCTCTCTCTCCCTCCCCTTTCCTCCCTTCTCAGAGTGATGTCCGAATTTTCTCACCGCGGTGTTTCACCCGTCAGGGATTATCGCCGCGTTTACTCGGTGTTTCCGTATGGAACTTGTAGGCACTGACACGATCGGTGGACGAAGGTGATGATTGATCAGGGCCTGGTCTCTATCATCGTTGCCCGCAGCAACGCCTTGACTCATCCCTCGTAAATTTCGTGCTATGGCTGGTCATTCTTCAGGAATT